CTTCGGGTCGCTGGGTGTGGTTGTCAGATTAACTAGCACCTCCGCCCGCGGAGCTATGAAAAAGCCCTTGCGTCACTCCATGTGAAGATGTCGGGTAACCTTGCAATTACTATGTATGCCATTATGCCCGCCTCGCTTCTTTCATAGTTACAACTGGCTGCTGACTGAGCTGATCTTGTGGCGGTGAGTCGAACCGACCTCTCTTTGGCTGGCGACCCCTCCAGAGCGTGCCGTTACTGCAAGAATCAGTGGCTTATGTATGTATATGTATGCATGTAGGTACACCTTTGCGTGCCACGTTGCGAGGGCGAAGCCTGCCATACAAAAATAACAGCACGTTATCAGAGGCAATATAGTAGGCACATGAAGAAAGGTCTAGACTGCGCCCCCCTCCCAACGATCTTCATTATTCTGTCCTTCGTTTTGCTAGCGGTGAGAAGCTGCCGTTGTGTTAGAGACCATGGTCTTTCGGTCATATGGTCAAGGGGATTACCCCCTGATCAAACAAACGGGGGTGGTGGCTGATTGACGTTGGTGATGGCGATGGGGCGAAGCCGGTTGTCACCCCAGGCCTTGGCCAACGACATCTTGGAGCCAAGTTGGGCGGTTCCCCAATGGAGCAAATGCTATCGTAAGAGTTCATCTATTTCCATCACGGTGTTCTGTCTTGTAACGCGGCTATGTCGCTTCAGTGGTCAATGACAGGGCCCGGACAGATCCTAGGCATTATATATCATCTTATCGACGAGGTCCAAAAACTCGCGTGGTATCGTATTTCCTCGGAGAACTTTACGGTGTGCTACCCTGATTTTGGGACATGCCAGACTGTTTGGTCCAGGGGGTGTGTGTCCTATGACAGTTGATGCCTTACGTTTGCTTGTACGAGAGAGATGGTTCGGGAATCTTGGGCTGACAACCGAGGAGGGGCGCATCTAAGACAATGCAAACAAGAGGCGACTGGGGTACTTTTGCGGAGCAAGAAGGGGCAAGAGAGCCGATAATGAAGGCCTACGCTACTGTGGCCCCTTTTCTTTCTTTGTTGTGCTAGCCGTCTCGTCGAGGGACGATCCGGATACGAAGTAGACGTCTACCTATACATCCCGTCTATACTCATTTACCGAAGCCGCATCGGCACTGAATTACCCATAGGGCAGCGCACGGTGGCCGACCGTGACAAATACTGGCCGAGCTAACGACACAGTTACCCTCCCTCTGGACTCGACTAACGAATCGCCCGGTTACGATCTAAACCTGAAGCGCCATTGGGACACGCCGGGGCCTCTCACACCCCTCTTCCATTTCCAGAGGTTAGGTACGGTAGTATGGTCCCGAGCCACGCGAACAGCCATCGACGCCATACGGACAGTCTAATGGGCGATGATCCAACCCGAGGCGTCCGTGGCCTCGTTTATCGCGATGCGATCCTTTGTCTGAGGGGCCCGAAAGTACGTCGAGGCGGAGCTATTACCCTTAGCGCAGGGACGGAGAACTATGCCCCTGGTTGTCCGCAACGACAGGAAAAAGAAAAGACGTGCCAGTGTCGCAGTGTCAAACAGTTTCCCCCGCCGAGACCCAAGGGTTGATCTTCACCCACTATTTTATTTCGTTTATCCGCGGACTTAGTGATTGGGTTGGGTTGATGCTATCAGCTGGGAATACAATATGAGAGGTGCATCAAGCTGGGGAACCTGTATATGCAAATACAGGCCTACATACAGTATACTGTCTGCAGTGATTGTGCCCATACGGAGTACAAAGCCAACCCGAACATCTTCCCTAGCCAAAAAGTATACTCCCGGGTGAGCAACGAGGCTAGAAAATGCCCTTTCCCCAAACCCAGCAATCCGGGCCAGCACAAGCCTCCTTCAGGCGGTCGTTCCTACGGTTGGACGATCATCCAGCGCCTGGGTGCTTTTGGCGCCGCCCATTGGCCTGTTAGCGGCTGGGACTAGTCCCGGGGCACATCGCCTTAGATCCGTTATGATCCCCCTCCCCCTTCCTGGGATTATTATTACCAGTATTTCGATTTCCTTCTATGTCACCCCGTGGTCCATCGTAATTTTACCCTCTGTTCGCAACGATATCCCAGTTGGTCGGGTACTTTGGCTTGAGCAGAAAGTGGCACCTAGCGTGGTCGGCGACTCCGCCGCGCTGGGTCGGTTTTCTGCCATCCGTCCGATCATCTACGCTACTAGTGTGAAGATAGGATACCCCCGGAAGGTCGCTTAGGTCGTGTAATGTCAAGTGCAGCGTCGCTTATGCCCGTTGGTGGTCATCTGGAGCTGAGCTCGCACTGAACGTTTGGCCTGCCTGCATGCGAACGGTGGCGGTATCGCGCTCCGCGGTTCTCATTGCACAGCGGTGTCGCCGGGAAACGCGTCTGCGCCCTGCATCTGAGGCATGAACGGTGGTTCTGATTCCCTGATATTATCCAGGGCAGGAGGGGATTGCGTACGAAGGAAGATATGCGCATTATCCACTGCCCGCACGGAGCGCGCTACGTAAGCCACTCAACTCTCGACTGGTACTTTTGCGCAGAGGTCCTGCGTCTCCAGCTAGCCATGGCTGGCTTGCTTTGGTCCAAGCGTAGATACCGTCGTCTGCGGTGGGACGGATGGGGCCTCAGGATGTGCGGCCTGTGCGGGAGGGAGTTGAGCCTTTCTCTCGGGGGTTGTCGGCCAGATGTCAACCACCGAGGGGCGTGCGGTCTGTGGTTCGCTGGGTGATACAAGCCCCAAGCCATCCGGGGATGGTTATATTCCTTTATTTTACTTTTTGTGGTGTGTCTGACCGTTGAATAGGAGGAATGGAATCCAACTATTAGGTGCGGATGTGCGTGTTTACAAGCGTACCCGAGAAGGGTCGGTCGATCTTGGAGCCAGAGAAATGGGTATTCTAGTTCGGAGTATACTAACTTAGGTAGTAACCTAATGATAGAGGGGCTAGCTAATACGCTGGGAGTATTTTATACCATACCCTGTCCGATAACTGTATCATATTAAGCATGTAGAATCTTCAGGAAGAACATTCGTATACGTGAGAGCACTGGAAGAGAAGAGAAGAGAAGCAAGAAAAAGAAAGCAAATGGAACAGTCTCGATATCGACTGGCGTTTGGAGAACAGCGTTAGCAGGCGGTTGACAGCGAGGAATGGCTACCAATGATGTGTGCTTGCGCCTGGAGATGAAGGTGCCAAAGTACCGTGGAAGAGTCCCCGGACAAGACATCCCTGGGGGCTTCAGTGGCGGTCGATTTCACCTCCATCCCTAAAAGTCGCTAGTGAGCCCACTAGACAGCAGCCCGGGTTAGCCCCAGTGCTTTTGTCCGCGGACTCGTAATTCGGCTGTCATCGGAGGAATTGTTGATGTGGGTGGGTAGTTGGCGATTGTTTGGGGCTTTCTCAAAGCATCAACTATCAATTGAAGAAAGGCACAGGCGATAGACTTTGATGTATTGTTCTTTCCTTTCCACCAGAGGGTGCTGAACGGAGGGTTGCCAGACCCCTGGGTGGGGATCCAAGTACGGAGTCTCTTACGCCACTGGGGTGGTAAGCTGCCATTCGACCCGATCTACACTTGGCCGAAGGAATCTACCAAAAAGAAATAATCAAACCAGCAAAATAAATAAATAAATAAATAAAAAGATATAAAACGAAAAATAGAATCAAATAAAATAAAATATGGCCGGGGATGTCACAAAAATAATACCCTAATTCTACTAGAAAAGAAAATCAAATTATTTTCCAACACCCTCCCCCTCCCTCTCCACCACCCCAATTGTCGCCCTACTGCATGTCCTGAGCAAAGCTGCAGTCGGTATTTTCTTTTTCTTTTTCTTTTTCTTTTTTTTTATTTATTTTTCCTTTCCCCTCTATATTTGATTTTATTTTCTATTCTTATTTATTATTTTATTAATATATTATAATTCATTTTTTTTTTTTAGCTCCTGTTTCGGCTTCCTGATACTCTTCAAGGATCATCCATGACGGCGGATTCGCCCACCTGGCCCATGAGTCCAGGACATCGAGATTCCAAATCGGGCAGGGTTCGATGGGGGTGCTGCGATTGCTGGGATGTGGAGAGAATGAATGGTTCTTTTGTTCAGATGCAATCTCGATCAGTCATTCTATCTTGCAGACTTAAAAAGTCCTGACGCTGTTCCCACTCCTTTCTTTGATAATATAAAGCCCTCTCACATCATCTACATCCATCCTCTTCCTTTCTACTTCAACTCTGCAACCAACAACTGCAACCACCCACCCCTGATCCTCACTCGTTCTTCTTCCACAATCAGGGTTCGAGTCCTCCCCGTCTACTTCAACCGTTCGTGTCACCATCCCGTTTACTTCACCCTCCCCGGCCCAACAAAGAACCGCCTTGCTGTCGTTCCGTCCTTCGTTCCCTGCGTGTGCCAGACACGGTTACCAGCAGCTTCCTGCAGCCCATCGGTATCTGGGAGCATCGTTCGTTGCTCTTCCGTGGGTTATTGTCCCTCTCCTCTACCATCGGTAAGTAGTGAGACCTGGACCGGCATTCCCTCCGTGGAGGGGCATTGGTGGACCGGGAATCTACAAGGACGATTCTTGATATCACTACCATCCCATGCCAATTCCATCCCGCACCAGCCCGGAGTTTGCTTCTATGCCGGATTCCTTCGCAGGGTGTCTTTCTGCACCCGCCCACCACAGTTCAAACCGGTAGCTGACAGTCAATCGTTGGTGTTCAGCCAGAATTAGCAGATCTGGAGCGTTGCAGCTCAAACGACTGGCACCGGTGAACATCGTCAGAGGACACTCCTCCCGCAAGAACCTGTGGCCGTACCAGCCCATTTCTTGCTCGACATCGGACTACAAATTGCCGACCCGTCCCATCGCACAGACACATCTATGCTCTACGCCAACCACCGATCTACCATTTGATCAACGTACCGCCTAGACCTATTGTCGACCTTCCATTATCTCGTCACTCTGCTCCACCCCACATTTGCCAAGTCTACAGCATCATGGTTGTTAGTGCTTCTGTCTCCGCGACGGGGGCTGTGAAGAGGCCTTCCTCCGCGCTTCAAGATGACTGCGCCGGTTGGGAATCTGCTCCCGTAAGTGATGGCGATGGCTTGCAATCAACGGCGACTGACAAAGCTGGGTAGCCTATGGCCATGCAAATGCGCACATCATTCAACCTCCCCTTCACTCACTATGCTTTGATTTATATGGACAACATGGGCAAGCTCAAGGTCTCGGAGTCGGCTTCTATTCGTGACCAACACGACACTCTCTTTACTCCTGATGTGCGGGAAAAGTTCCTGGAGATTCTTGGGCCTAAGATCGGGTACCACAAGCCACTCATTCGCAGTATGTGGTCAAATACTGGCCTTCCAGGGGAGTGTATATTAACCGTCTTCTATAGGACCCTCTGGTGTCGGTGCTTATCCCTACGGTTATGGACACCCTGAAGACTTCTCCCGCCAGGTTAAGAGACGCAAGGCGTCCATTCAAGATCCTGCACTTGACATGCACTTTTCCAGCCAGTACTCTGACTCGGTCGAAGAGTTCCCTCAGTACCCGTCGACCAACATGGTCGGCCTTGAGATCGGAGACACCGAGAAGGTTCTCGAGTACTATGAGAATGCTCTCAAGCACTTTCAACAACTGAACTGCCGCCAGATCGCCAAGGCTTTTATCAAGTTTATCGAACCGCGCAAGCAAGTGAAGCACCCGTACAACGGCGGTAAGCCCCGTGCTGGAGCGGCCTCGGGTGAGAAGGGAGACCCGGAAAAGACCAAGCCAGAGTGGTGGCCCGCTGGCGTCGTCCATAAGGAGCCGGACCACCTTCGCAAAGAACGTAAGGCAGCTCTCCCGTTATGGTTGACACAACAGCTGACGTCCACAGAACGCATTCGCCTCCTGATCCACATTGTTCGCAAGCTCGGAAAATTTGGCATCACCCCTGATAAGCTGCAGGAAGTTGCCTACGACTCCAAGAGACAGCTCAGACCCACGACCAAGATCGAGGTCCTGGATGAGATCTTCAAGGTGCGACGGATGGAGGAGAGATACGAAAGAGGTGAAATTGGTAAGTAACGCTATACCAATGCAATCTTCGAACCGCCGCTCATACATCAGCAGACGCGACCACAATGGTATACGTTGTGAACCGGGACGCCAACCAGAAGGGAGACAAGGACTCCGACTCTGTCAGCGAGCCCGAACAAAAAGCTGACGCCGAGGAAGTGGATGAAGTGGACGAGGGCTTCCTGACCCCTGCATCATCCGCCCAACACACTCAGACTTCTTTTGCATCTGTTGACATGAGCATGGGTGCTAGCCGCCCAATGCACATCAGTGGTGACAGAGACCAGCTTTTCCCATTGCCTGAATCTTTAAGCTTCGAAGAGCAACCCAGAACTGAACGCACATACTACCCTGCCACGTCCGACTACTCGGATGATTATGGCCACAGTCTGCTGAAAACTCCTGTGACTTCGACGATGGTCAGCCCAAGTGACCAAACTGGCTCCTTCGAATACCTGCCTCCGGCCCCGTTCACAGCCTCAACGACAGCGGAACAGATGAGTGGCCAGCGTCCCGCAGCGATGCCAATGCAGCACTCCATCAGCCACTACGACTCTTGGACGCCGACCTTCCGCCAAAACGTCTTCCACCCGATGGAGTACGGCACGGCACCAAACCAAACTCTCCCCCAACCTGCCGTGTCCTATCCGATGTCGATGCCACCTGCCTCTCATCCGGATATGCCTCACGGTCTTCCGGACCCCATGGACCACAAGCCTGCGGTCTTTCGCCCAGGGCCCATGATGGTTCCCCACCACACTGCGACCGCCTAGAGGCTGTTGCAGTCCATCTCTCCGACTACCTCAAAGTTCTCTTACGAACGACACGCATGATTTGTACGAATGATCAATAGACCTTACCGCTTGCGACAGTCCGACCGTTAGGATTTGATTGCCCTGTGGATTCGCATTTGCTCCATCTTCGTTTCTGCGATTTATATTTCTGGCCTATATATATTCCGCCATTTATCTTTTTTTGTTCGATGTGCTCTTAATGTTATGTTTGCGACGGATGCTCGGGAAGGATCACGGCGCGACTGTCTTGTGATTTTAGTTGGATAGACTTTTGAAAGCAAAGGCGCTTGAGGTGAACCGGTGGAGGTTATGCAAGTGCCGTGTATTGGGGAAGCGATTGATGTTGAGTTCTTTGCAGCGGGCGTATCCTGGATGGCTGTGTTGATCTTTTCGTGTGGCCTTTGTTGTTCAAAAAGCAATGCGTGAATGTGATTTGCATTAGTCTCACACTGACTTTGTAAACCGAAGTACTATTACCTACTAGAGCCTCTGACCTCTCACATCTTAGGGTTGGTCCCTTGCACCCCAGATCTCGGACATCTCGCAGTCTGCGCCATCCGGATGAAATACGAGGTTTCTTTGTGGGGCCGGCCAAGGAATCCCATGGTTATTCATTGGTTTTACGGTCTTATCATCAGCCACGAAGGGAGATCAAAGTCAGGCGACTGTACGGTAGTGACCATTACCTCCCACCATCGACAGACCAAAGAAGACCAATGTCGGGTATTGTGGCGACACCACTCACGTTTCTCGGTCAAATATGGCAGTCATTGAGCCCACAGAGGAACAGTGACAGTAACGGACTGCCACTTCCCCCAGAGATCGTGAGACACATCTTGTCTTATGTGAACTGTCCTTCGACGGACCTTCCGCACAGTGACCTCAAGGCATGCCGTCTCACATGCAAGCAATTCGCCGCCATCGGGGTATCCTTCTTGGTCGAGGACCTCTACTTTTTCGCAAACCCTCGTCAGCTGCGTCTAGTGGAGCTGGTGTCCAAACACCCCGTCCACGCGTTGAATGTCAGACGCCTGGTCTATGACGGGAGTCCCTATCGACCGGACTCCCCGGACTGGGAAGAGATTGACGACCCAAGGTTCGTCAACGGCCATGTCAAGGAGTGTCTCCTGTGCTCGCCGTGCCTCCAAGCGACCTTCCTGGGGAACCTTGACAGGTCCCAGAGGGAGCATGACGGCAAGTGTCAAGGCTACCACATGAGGAAGCATATGAGCTTCTACTACCTATGGTATAGAAAGCAATGGGAGATCCCGATGGCACGCTTTGACTACGACACACTGGTCAGCGCGTTGCCTCGATTCCCAGGGCTGCGCCATATTGTTTATAAAGCGAGCTGTCCCCGACGCTGGATGAAGCCACATGCGATCATTGACCCTCCGCCGCTCACATGTTCCTTACGAGAAGCGGGGTATGAGCCGTCTAACCATCACGATCTCATGAATCTTCTGGAGGCGATAGCAGATTCTGGTGTTGCAGTCGATAGCCTGGATATTATTGTTGACATTCACTTCTTGCACACCTTGGCCCAAGCCTCAGAAAAACTCGACAAGATCCAGTCAGCGTTTATTACCCTTCGATCACTGAGACTGCTCTTTATTACACCGGATTCAGGCGATGCTATCCCTGGCTATTTGGAAAATGGTATCATGGGGAAACTCCTCAGTGCGGCAAAGAGCCTTACAACCCTAAAACTGTCATATGGTGCAAAGACGTCGACTAAATCCCAACCAGATATTGCTTATCGTCTGGGGCTGCCTTTAGAAGCCTACATTGGGAGCATCAGCTCTTTGCCATCCGATCGCGGACTAGAGTCTAATTTTCCACGCCTGAAAACGCTCCTCCTCGGGAGACTGTCCACAACCGAACGAGAGTTGGCCTCCTTTCTATCAACACACCCAACATTGCAAACGATAGAGTTCGACGGTGTTGTATTAGCACAGGGACAATGGGCAAATATAGGGATATCCGCTGCTCTTCTGCCAAATTGGCATACGTTAAAATGCCGCCACCTGAGACAGGATGACCCTGTTGAGGAGGCCAGTGTGGAATGGTTCAGTATGGCCGAGTCTATACCAGGGGTAGATCCTAGCACTATTTTCCCTGCCAACCACCCTTATCTAGTGGTCGCCAGAAGACCTATCTCTGAACATAGTGGCGATAAGCAGTGGCAATGACTTGAAATCACCAAATTGTCATCTAATGATTAATATGATAAATGTACAATCCATATACACGTTTAGTAGAAGTTCCATCTTGCTGTGGTTGTTCTGCAGAAGAGATCCGCTCTTGGGAGGTGGAAAGCCTGGGGTTAGACGCGCGGCTGGCGCTTACATACTCATCATACCCGCCCACTGATGCAGTTCCACCAACTGAGCTTCGCGACGGACAAAGACAACTCCAGTCATTGTCTTCTGTTATTCACCATATCGCGGGGTGAATCACGATCGACCAACATATCATCTTCACCCTTTGCAGTTATACAACTCCCCAACGGTCGCCCCCTTTCGCGAACCCATCACCGATCGCGTCGTCCTCGTCGGAGAATTCCCCGTCGGAATCTTGTCGACGCGGGACAAATCCATTCACCCAGCGACTGTTCCCATCTCGATCCCGGATTTGCGATTCGATTCATCTCATTGCCCTCGTACGAACTCTCAGGCATCTGCGATCCACGCCCAAAGGTACTGCGCCGCCCTCGTTCGTTATTCCGTATCGACATGTCTCCGTGATGGATCCCACTTTACCTCCTTCCCTCGTCCGCCTATCCTTCGCAGTCGTCCCGTCGTTATGAGGACGTCAGTCTCTAGAAAATACTTGAAGCTAACTATTTCGCCACGCTTTGCCAACGATTTCCGGTGGACAGTGCATATAGTATCATCCAGTCGATCTACACCTCCATCTCGCGATACAACCTCGCCTACGATCCCGAACCGAACACGCATCTAGAAAGCAAACGAAAAAAATAGATCCTGCTGACAGGAGGCTCGGGGGCGTTTCTGGCGAGAAAGACGGCTCTGTCCACGGTCCACCCTGCTGCGCACGACAAGATGGCGGGCGCTCCAAGAGCAGCTTCCCCGTTTACCCAGAAAGATGGCGGGTTCGGGTCAGCAGGACGTGGACGTGGTAACGGATCATCCGCGCGCGGCAAGCCCTACCAGGCCGGAGTTCCCGGTGCGTCGCGCGAGTTCAAACCCCGTGGACGCGGACGAGGGTCAACAGAACCGAGAGGTGGTCGTGGTCGTGGGCGAGGCGCCGGCGCCGGGCCTGGGCACAACACCTGGCGCAAGCCTGAAACAGCCACAGCGACCTCCATTGAGACTAGCGGATCGACTATTGCCTCGCCTTTCGCGCCGTTGAAGCAGAACAAGCCCGCGTCCTCTGCCTTTGGTCAACCTTCGCAGCCACAGCCGTTTGCTTCGGGATTTGGGAAAGCGTCCCCTGCGCCATCCGCCGTGCACTCAACTTTCGATGGGACTATGGTAGATGCGAATAGGGATCCTCGAAAACGGTCCGCGCGGAGGGGACCGGTGATGACTATCAACGGCACTGGCGAGGTGCCCGTCGAAGATCTCTCGGTCTTGAACAGCTACAATGAGCGATATGAGCAGGTTAGAGTTTTCCCTTGTCCGAGGACCTCCCCGTACTGATTGAATGATAGCTGAAAGTCGATCGCGCGAGAGAACGAGAAAGAGCTATCAAAGCAGGACAGATGGCAGACCCCAATCAGCCAACCAATTTGAACCAAGCGATTACGCCAGTCGGTACATGCACGAGCATGTGCCCGGAGTTCGAACGGGTTGAGCGCATTGTACAGAAGATGGTCGACAAGAGTGAGAAGGTATGCTCCTGCGTTTTCCCCATCATGACGTGGGTAATGCTCAAATTGTCTGCAGTACCTCCACCCTTCCACAGGCTCCTTACAAAATATGGAGACGAAAATGCTCAAGCGCTTCCGGAGATCAGCCGCTGGGTATGACGAGCAACTGCCATCGGATATTCGAACGCCGAAGACCCTTCTTCAGTCTATGAATTACCTAATTCGACATGTTCTGGGCGGAACCGAGCCTCTAGGGATTATCCACAAGTTCGTGTGGGATCGGACTCGATCAATTCGTAACGACTTTTCAGTCCAACAACTTACGCAAGAAGATGATGTTCGAATAGCGGTTACTTGTCTTGAGAGAATTGCCCGGTTCCATATCGTGTCTCTGCACCTACTGTCCAGCCCGGCAAACGAGGAGCCATTTGACCGCCATCAGGAGCGCGAACAACTGAACAATACCATGTTGTCCCTGATGTATTACTACGACGATAACCGGGACCGCATTAAATTTCCGAACGAAGACGAATTCCGCGCGTATTACATTGTCTTCTCGATCCACGACCAGCGACCAGACCTGGAGGCTCGTGTCCAGAAATGGCCCGCAGAACTGCGGAACTCACCGCAGGTCCAGCTCGCGCTGGAGCTACTTGCTGCTGCTGGAAATACCTGGGAATACCAAGGCACCCTCGATGCGAAAAGACCGAATGCTATCGCCCAAGGTTTCTACGCCCGGTTTTTCAGCTTGATCGACTCGCCCGCCGTGTCGTACTTGCTAGCTTGTGTTGCGGAGATCTATTTCAACCATTTACGGCAAACTGCTATACGGTCTATTTGGAAGGCATACTGCCGTGCCCCTGCATCGCAGCAGCATAAGAATGAAGAATGGACCGTCGATGAACTCACAACGGTGCTATACTTTGATGACAACAGCCAAACGATCCAATTCTGCGAAGAGCAAGATCTAACCTTTGCCGAAAACGCAAATGGTGAACTCTACCTCAACTGGGGAAACCGGCCTGTTGACTCCATCGGTACGTGTAATTCGAAGCGACATCCTCGATTTTCTCACTACACCAACTTTAACTGACATCCTGAACACCAGCCTTTCAACCGTCGTCGGATCACTCGTTCTCGGAGAAGTACGTCGAGTCAAAACGTGGGGGAAGATCAATGGTTGCAATCATCCTTGGTTTAAGCATCAAAGAAGCAGCGAACCTGGGGATGATTGATATCTCCCTCCTTTCCGAACGCATTTCGGCAATACCATCTAATGTCGAGAGCACCATGGAAGATGACGCTCTGTTCGTGAGTGATGAGGATAATGAGACTCCTGCCCCAATCACACAACAAAACATCATCACTCAGGATGGACCTTCTCCTGGCCTTTTCAATCCGTTTGGTGCGCCGCCACCAGCACCCAGTGGCGAAGGAACGGCATCCGCGGCAAGCATTTTCTCTCAGACGACAAGCACATTCCAACAGCCTGCGACGTCACAGCCATTTTCGACATTGTTTTCTTCTACAACTACTTCTGCTGGAAACCCAGCTACACATGCCCCCTCCCCGAACCCGTTCGCCTCCTTGTTTTCTTCGTCCAAGGAGGCTCCGGTGACATCCCACCAGCCGTCTCCTTTCCCTTCTGCCCCATCTCATCAACAACCTGCGTCTATATTTGGTACCCCAGTATTCGGGGCACCGTCTCAGACAGAAACGAAAGAACCCAAACAAACTCCTGCGCCACCACCTGCGGCCCCATTCTCCAACATTTCGAATGTTTTCAAGCCTGCGACAACATCTGTATCTCCTCCATTCGCTACAACAACTACCTCGCCATTTTCTCAGGCAACCCAAATGCCTGCGCCACCGGTCGATAAACCGGCAGCAAGTATCTTTGATTCGACCAAAACGCCTGCTTTTGGATCTTCGAGCTCGATTTTCAGTATTTCTGGCTCGGCTACTGCATCGTCGCCGGAGCCTCAGCCAGACCAGAAGCCCGCACAGGAGACATCCTCTCAGCCTTTTACCTTCCCGTCGATCGCTCCAAAGGCAGATGGTATGGTTCCTTCCCAAGCTTACACCTGCAAGATCTGACAATATTTTCAACAGCAATTGCGGCAAATCAAGAAAAGCCGCTGTTTCCCTCGCAGCCAACGACTGGGAAGCTGGGCGCTGTTTTCGCGCAACAGGCAGCGGATGCATCCCACGCAAAAGTGAGCCCTCCGGGCGATCAACCATCTCCAGGTTCAGATAAGCTGGCGCCAACTAAGCAAGCTCAGCTGGCGAATGGCACTATGCCGGAAAGCGAAGGCACTGCGCCACAATTGTCTACGACAACGACCGATGAGGGAGTTTCCGAGTCTGGCAAGCCCGCGGAAGCGGAAACCGCCCAAGAGGCTCCATTAGCAATCGAGTCGGCCCCTGAAGAACCTCCAGCCCGTATGTCATACACTTTCATTTCCGATGTAGCAGACGCTGACACAATTTTTAGCCCCCGAAGAACGTGCTGGTCATGTTTCGTGGATAGAATCTTTGAAAGCGGCAGCAGAAAACCGACGACGGACGTCTTCTGTCAGTCGGAAACGTGGCCTAGACGATCAAGGACCAGAGGCTCCCATCGAAAGTGGTGCAAAGCCTGCGAAAGTATCAAAGCCAGAGGCGTCTGTTGCGCGGAAGAAAAAGTCTATGGCTTTGTCGTCTATCAAGCCTCTTCCGAAATTGCCCATTCTAGAGCAGGTTGAGTCTCTTACGGCCAAAAAGCCAGCAGAGAAACCCGAACCACCGAAGCCAAGCCAAGTGGACGAAGACGAAATTCTACTGTCAGCAGCCCGCATTGCTGCTGAGTCACTGAGAAGCGGCCCCAGGCTTATGGACAGCTGGACTACACCCCCGGACACACGTCGATCGTCTTTCAGCCCTCGGGGTAGTTTTGGATCCCCCATGGCCTTTTCACGAAGCCAATCCCCGCATTCTTCATCTGTGCATGGATATGATCTCGCTCTTGCACCCGACACCGATCTTGGCCTGGGCCGGACATTGTCTCGAACCGAACAAAGACTGCGACTTACTGGAGGCAAAGGTCTGGCTTATAAACCGCTAGACTTTACACCAAAGAAGTTCCGAAAGTCGAAATAAAGGAATATTGTGCCATTCTGTGTTTATACTTGTGTTTTGACTGTTCCTGAGGTTGGGTCAGGATTTCCTGATAGAGCCAGGATTTTGTACATCGTGTTTGTAACTGGGCATATTGTTGCATCAAGCGGCGTCTATTGGGTTGGTCCTGCATTTTGTGAGATTGTTTGGACAGGTTGGCACAGTGCATGGTTGGAAGCGTCTGACATAACACTTTGAATTTAGCGAGCAATTCGTACATGCTATGTTGAATAACAAATTTATACAAGCTTAAGCTGATTAGTATGTAGATGTTTTCGACACTTCAATACGCGAAAACATGCAATGCAAGTAGATGGCAAATCACATGACTCCGGCCGGGCTCACCAATCACCACATGGACACTTCACCTCCATCACAGATCCAATCATCCAACAACCGCCTGCCGGCACTATAGAAACGCATCAGATCAGACATCACCACAGTAGTCAGTCATTATTGCTCCCCTCAGGACACGCAATCCCATCAATGTTGGGATTACCGCATTCCGTCTCCCGTCCAGGTGCTTGATCCGTCTGCCATTCGCAGTATCCATTCGAGCACCGATCTCGGTCACAAGACCTGGACACATCCTTGCACACGCATTCCTCTCATCCATCCAGTAACACAACAAAGACGGAGCATGAGAATCGCAACGCTGCAATTTGCCCCGAAACTGGGCGATGTCGAAGGCAACATCAGAAGGGCCAATGACCTGCTCCAGGACGGCCAAGGAGCAACCCCTGCTTCGGGGCTTGATACCCTGAAGCCCGATATTTTGGTACTGCCCGAGCTTGCATTGACAGGTGCATGGCCCCATCCTTGAACTCTCCGATTCATCTACCGGCTGCTTGATATACTGACATCTCACCAGGCTACAACTTCCCCTCGCGCGAGGCTATTGCCCCGTACCTCGAGCCAGCCGGACAGGGGCCGTCCGCCGCCTGGGCGCGACAGACAGCCAAGAAGTACGGCTGCAAGGTGTGCGTGGGGTACCCCGAGATCGAGGCGGCGAGCGCGGGGCGTGACCAAGCGTCCAACCCGGGGACGTGCTACAACTCGCTGCTTGTGGTCGACGAGCGGGGCGAGGTCATCCTGAACTACCGGAAGACCTTCCTGTATTACACGGACGAGACGTGGGCGGCGGAAGGCGACGCGGCGCGCGGCTTCCATGAGCTCACGTTTGGGCCATCGCCCAGCGGCGGCGGCGGCAAAGCGGTGGCCACCTCGTTTGGCATCTGCATGGACATCAACCCGTACCGGTTCGAGGCGCCGTTCACGGCGTGGGAGTTTGCGCACCGCGTGCTGGACTCGAAGACGGAGCTGGTGGTGCTGTCGATGGCGTGGTTGACGCTGCTCAGTCGCGAGGAGATGGCGCATCTGAAGGATCGGCCGGACATGGATACGTTCAACTACTGGATTCAGCGGTTTCTGCCGCTGGTGAGGAAGCGGATGCAGCATGGTGTGGCTGTGGATGGGGCAGAGGGGAAGCAGATTATCATTGTGTTTGCGAATCGAGCTGGGGAGGAGGAGGGGGCGGAGGGGGCCAGTCCGGCGCGGTACGCAGGCACGAGTACGATTCTTGCGATTCGACAGCGGCCGGCGCCTCACTCTCAGTCTGGCTCTCGCGCGGCTGGGGCCGTGTCTGATGGAGAGGGTGGGGAGGAAGGTTCTGCGAGCGAGGCCGCAGATGCGTCGGCGTTTGATGTGAAGATCCTGTGTTGGGACATGATGGGCGCTGGGAGCGAGGGGATTTGTTTTGCTGATACTACGGCGGATCCCCGGATGGTGTTTGGGTTGGTGAAGGCAGGAACTTGATGGAGAGGATGTGTGGCTCGTTACGGGGCCGCAAGTGGTATTGCGGTCGTGATAGTACTATAGTCCATCCATACTCTATCATCACCCCTGCGGCCACAATCATGTGAACCCCGGAGTCATACCGAAGGTTGCATCGCAGCCCATGTGACAGGGTCGGATCGTGCATACTTGAATCTAGACTTAACCAACGCCGTCTCCCTGTGGACATCCTCGCTGAAGACTCTGATGCTACGGAAGGGACGCTACGGGGAGAGAAGCCGAAACCCAAACGCGGATCAGCCCGCCGCGGACGCAGCGCATGACCAAGGGATCCACCGCCCATCCCGATGTTTGATGCATATCATCAACGGACGGTGCAGGACGCAACCCCGGTCGACGCATTGCAACTGCCGATCGTACACTGCAGAGACGCCACCGTCGCTCAGATGAGACGCGAATGGGCGATCTCTGGGGCATGGCATGGATGCGAGAAATGGCGTAGTGGTCGATGACGGTGAAGGTGACACTGGGTCAGATGAAGGCGCGCTGCTGCGACCATCCCTCATGGATCATGGTGGGGGGATAAAAGGCTAGGCTAGCTCTAATAAGAAAGATAGAGGTATACATTCTGTAGGGAGTAGGGAGATTCCATCTGCTGAGTCTGCCAATAAGCGGAGTTTTGGGGAGGCGTGACAGGAGTTATTGCACCCAGTATGGAGATTCATCTTCACGACCATCTGGAGGAGAAGCTGGTGACCAGATTTGAGTCTGGACGATCACCGTACTCTGTAGAGTAGCCAGGTGGGATATGGATTCTGCACCAAGTTGATATGGACCGTGCTCCCCGATGAATCTAGCAGGGTCGGGCCGGCCGGGGAGCGAATCCGCCACTATTATTCTTGTTGTCTGCAGTGGCTGCACAGAGTATATGGAGTAGAAGGTGATTGCCGAAAAGGGATGGGCTGCTGAGGTAAGACGCACGTGATGAGGAGGTGAACCCCTCCTTTGGGCTCGGGCCAATCAGACGGGCGAAAGCGATAACGAAGGAGGGGGAACGAAAGAGGGGGGCACGGGACCGCAGCACATGACGGCGCGAGCGACGATGAAGGAGGGTGAGAACAGAAGAGGGGGAAGGTGTTCTGGCGATAAGAATCAGATCGAGGTCTCTTCGTGGTGGCCGTCGCATACTGGAGGTACAAGCTACTACCCAAACGGGTCGGGACACCAGCACGATCAGGTGACACAAACTGCGCCATCGGTGTCTGTGGACAGCCGCAGCACACCCAGCCCAATAAGAGGCGGTAGGCCGTCACCACGTGAGCCGAGCGGACTCTCTCTCTACTCAACTCGCGATTCTACTCTCTCCAATGTATCCCTTCTTTCCGGCTTAAAATCCGCCGCTTCTTTTTACTCGTCCTCAAATCCGGCCGGTCCGCTCGCGCTGAATTGGCCGTTACGTTCCTGCTCGCTTCTTCCGCGGTGAAGTCTCGGTTTCTGGTCTCGTCGATTGTCTTGGGTCTTGTTGATGCCCGTGGCAGGTGACTTGCTGTCAGGTGATGATAGAGAGCCCATCCATCCCAAGGTACGCTTGCTGCTCTTTCCATCTCCCCTCGTCAAGCTTCATCCCCCATATCGTCGGGATGGCCTCGCATCGCGCTTGGAGTCCCACCATGTGCTTTTCTCCCTCTCTATCCCGCCCGTCCTGACCCGGTCGGGCGATTTTCCCTTCGCCACTGTCGCTCCTGATGCTGTTGCTGCGACTGGTTCCGTCCGTCACCAGCGCCCTATGACGCGTGTCTGATGCGGACCTGTCTTGGTCAATTTGACATGCACCCCTTGATTGCCTGATGGTCTCTCAAGGGGTGTTTCTCATCTATCAGAGACATTCCCTGGACGAAGGTGTCGTCTGTGGACACGATGATGTTGTTGGTGCTGCTGATGCGGAACTGCGGCGCGTTAGCCTAACGCGTCTCCAATCCACTATTGGCCCATCTCGCTCACCATCTCTCTTTGTTCATAATGCGCCGATCTGTGATGAATAAGATCAGTCTGCGCCTTCACCTCGATAATCTCCATCGGATCTGATCTGGCTTTTCGCCAGGGATTCGGTGGTGATTGTCGAATGCCTCGGTCCTTCATTCACTAGACAACTTCATCCATTCAATGCAACCGCCACTAACAACGCATCAGACCAACAGATCATTACTTTCGATAGAAACTCTCTAGTGTTCCGAGTCATTGTCTCATGTAAGCCGCGCAGCTTCTACCCTGTTCCTACTCGCCGACTAACCCCAGTTCTCGCTGCAGCTGTTCAAAACCCACCTTCATCATGTCTGACCCGTCTTTGGGCGCCTCGGACGGCAACGTCACGAACAAGCGCAAGCGCGAGAGCACTGACAGTACTGGCGGCGATGTTCAGCGTCTGAACCGCTCTTCAAATGGCAGCAACGGCAGCATTCCTGGTCCCGACTCTCAACCCAACTTTACCCACAGCTCCCTTGGCTCCTATGATCCCCACGGACTCCCGGGCTCCACCGAGCTCAACATTGATCAGCAAATTCTCCAACATGTTGGCCCGCAGAATGGCATCTCAGATGAGAATGCCTTGACTGCAAAGGCCGCGCTGGCCGCCCATACTCCCCAAAACAAATACCCTGGCCCCCCAGAATCGGCTTTCGACAACAATCTGGCGCATGGGTTGACCTTTGGCGATGACATGGGCCAGCCCATGGGAAGCACGCATAGCCACAACTCCACGGCAGCGGCAGTTTACGCTGCGCGCGAGGCGCAGAGTATGAACCAGAAGCCTTCAGTGGGCTCACCTGAGTGGCACCAGATTCGCAAGAACAATCACAAAGAAGGTAATGAGCTCAGCCAGGTTGTCATCTGAGCCTCTGCTAACGCATCCATAGTGGAACGTCGACGTCGCGAGGCAATCAACGAAGGTATCAACCAGATTGCTCGCTTGGTGCCGAACTGCGACAAGAACAAGGGCGCCATTCTGCAGCGCGCAATCGAGTATATCTGTCAGCTACACGAGGAGAAGAAGGCCATGAGCGACCGGTGGGAGCAGAACAACATGACCACGACCCATGCGATCAACGAAATCAGCTCTCAAAACTCCAAGCTCAAGGCCGAGGTCAACCGTCGGGGCGATATCGCGTTGAAATGGCTACAACGGTGTCGCGACGCGGGACTGGAGTTCGACGACTACGACGAGTCGAAGGAGCTGGAGCCCCTCGAGGTGGACCAAAGTCAGGTCTAATGGGGTCATCTTCCACCTTGTGTAAGGTGTGGTCTTCTTTTCTGCCCTCTGCAGTATATTCCTGTTTACCTTATCTACGCGTGCTACGAATCTTTATTATCCTACTGGAACCTCCAACTACCGCTATCGATATCCCTCGATTTTCCGGCCCTTCTCTCCCTGGACAGATCCTTGTTTGTTTGTGATGCCACGGTGTTTATCATATTTTCTGTCGACTGTCATTCTTATCGATGGGTTGGTCTTGAAAACCCTGAAGGCGCGTCTTTGTTGGGAGATGGGTTGGCGACGTGTGCCTTGGTGCTTTAATCTTGTCTTGTTTTCAGCCTGGGGTCGGATTACTTGTTGCCGCATGTTCTTGTCTGCTTTCACCCTACTTTGATTCTTTCTGTACGCTATCTTTATGGATGGATCGGCGAAACTATGGCTGGGAGTGATTAATATGGACGTTTCTGGAGCCTGCGTGACTGCGGCTCTTATTGAATGCAAGTTACTTATCAACTACTCTATCAACTTCTCGAATTTCAGTAGAGTGTCAAGGGACGGTGCGCATGCATGGACTCGAAGTGTTCAATATGTACATAGAATGAAACAAAGCAAACGGATAGACCCGAAAGCAACAGCCACGATAGTAACTCAACCCAATCCACACTCCCTCATTTTACGTCGGAACCGAGGACCATATTAAAAGTTCGTGGAAGCGGTAGTCGACGATCCAGACGAACAACCCACATTGTTCACGCGCACCGTCTTACCCGACTGGCCCGTGATCCTCACATCGACAGTGTCAGTACCGAACCCACTATCGTTCTCAAAGTAGTTGTAGAACGAGCGGGTAGTAGCATGCCAGGTACTTCCCCCGTCGGTGCTGACCTCGAGGGCGGTGACAGGCTCATTGGAGTTGACGACCTGCATGGAGAACCAGTACGCCGAGGTTCCCTCCTTGTTCTTCAGGACGAGGGGCGTGTCGATGTCGCACGAGACGAAGGACCAGTCAATGCTGATGATGCCCTCGGAGAGAGCGGCGAGCTCGCTAAAGCCGTTCTGGAAGAGGTCGAGATGGGTTGCTTCGCACTCGGGGCATTGGTCGACGATCTGTGCTGTGTTAGTGTGGTGGTTAGGGGAAGGACAGGGGTGTACGCACCATGGCTTTGATGGAGTTTCCGCTCGGGCCCGTTACCTGGACACAGGCACCGCACTGGGCCGCGTCGTTCCATTGCGCGCCGGAGTAGGCGGTGCCGAAGAGGCCCGAGGGGAGAGTGTAGCCCGTGAACGAGCAAGTTCCGCCGGAGACGTTGCCGCCGTAAAAGGTTGCTTCGCCGGAGTACGTTTCGCTCTTGGACGTACTGGAGCTGGACGAAGATGCCGAGGTAGAGGCGCTCGGAGCTGCTGCTGTGGTCGTAGGCTGCTGCGCTTGGCTCGTGGAGACGACAACAGCAGCGGTTGTGGGCTGGGGGGCGACAGTTGTGGTTGACTCCGCGGGAACGATGACCTTTTGATGAACAGTGGCTGAAGTCGAGGTTGACGATGAGGGTGGGAGTCCAACCGACACGCTCGTTTCAATGGCATCAACGGGGGACTCCGTGGGAGCAACATTCGCACCAGTCGTGGGCGTTTCCATCGGCACCGAGACAGAGGTCAGAGTTGATTCAGGGATGGCTGTGACAGTCTCCGTGACGGTGGATGTAGCTTGGATAGTGGTGGTCGGTTCAACCGATGGGGTAGGCTCCAGGGTGATGGTCTTATAGTAAACACTCATTGTGTACCCTGGAGGACATTGCGCGTTGTCTTCACGGGGAAATAGAGGGCTCGCTGAAACCGAAGCGGCGCCCAGGGCAGCAATGCCAAAGGAAGCAAGACGTTGGTATTTCATCTTGAAAGCGTTCAAGTAGACAATGAAGTAAGTAGGGAGTTTCTAGGAAACCTGATCAACAGCTGAGGATCAGAGTGCTATAGATGCTAAGACGTGTATAGACGAACGCGAATGAGAGGACGTGCAACCAGCGCAGCTTTCTGTTTCAAAAGAATGGACGTCTAGATTCAAGATCCAGAACAAACGAACCTGCTGTACCAGACAGGACTGCAAAGGAGAGACAAGCGACAACAAGAAGGGAGCAGGAAAGAAACGGAGGAAGAGCGAGCCGTATTTGACTCTCGACCACGGAGTCTTGCTGACCACAGGCTGTTCCAGGCCGCAATCAAACGAAATGAGCCTGTCCGGAGACCGTAATCTGAGGGCGCCACATCAATAATGACTCGAGAGCACGGATTGGAAGTGGCATCCACCGGTTTGGGCGCTATTGCTCGGACGCGAAATGAGATCTTAATCTGAAACGCCGGTCGTGGATCAAGACAATGACCTGCGGAAAATTGACCCAACAGAGCTCCGCTCCAGCAGGCACAAACACAGAAAATGGAGCTGTCTTCTCAATCCCAAGTCTTAGCATTCCTTTTAACGTTGGGAAATTAAACTACAAGCGGTGGGCCCACACTGCTCGAACACTTCGGCGAGAGCACTGAGTCTGATCGTAAAGTCGTGAATTGGTATCGAAACCTCGACGTACACGCTGAGAAACTTGTCTTGGTTCGAGGCGGACTGATACAGCTTTCTGAGTTGTCCATTGAATACATGAACCAGGCAAGCTGGCTCCGCGGCGGCTTGAAGGAACACGTTGAGGCCATGATCGTGTCATGTCAACCTTGTTGCACTAAGTGGGCACTAGTAATCTTGGAACTCCGGGAGTTTGTAGACCATCCGGGGATATTTGGCGTGATGAGCGACCTCGCTTGCCTCAAACACAAGCAGTAAAAGTCCAACGAAAGAGATTGGGAATTTGGATTGAAATTGCAACACCTAAAGGCACATTAAACACCGTTACCGAGAATCCCACATGATCTCGTTCAGCCTCAGCAGCGCGTCTGCGCTTGCTTTCTTCGCAGTCATAAAATCTTCCCGGTTCTCGTCTCCTCTCGGGCCATGGAGGATATCCGAGAAGCAGAGGTCGATGAGCACCTTGAGCTCATCGTAGGTGAACGGTTCGCCGTTTCCTGCGGCCAATGCCTTTTCGCCTTGCTCGGCGAACGATTCCTTTTCCTCCTTTGCGTAATCCAAGGCCTTCTCAGCACCTTCCATGAACCAGTCGAGGAACTTGGCGCTGCGAGGAAGAGCCACCGTTTCCTGATGCTCCTCACGCCCCCGCCTGGGCTGACGATCATCGTTGGCAGTCTCGGTGGTTGGATCAATGATGATGTTCTTCAGATTTTGCTGGAGAACAAGCACGTCCAGCTGAAGCCGCAAAGCACCGTTTTCGTTCATTGCACCAATGTGGCGAGTAGTAGAAACGAATGTCTGATCGATAAATCTCGCGAGGCCCGATTTGATGAACCACCGCTCACTGGGTCCCAAGTACGTGGACATGTTCGTGTCGAAGGCGATCAAGTCATTGTTCAACTCAAGAACAGTGGGCGACGCTGCTGTTGGTTGGTTCAGAAGGATATGCCACCGATTGGTATTTGACGGCGACGGCGTCGCCGGCTCTGCGTGGCTGATATTTTGAGGGTTGGGGCCGGACATTGTCCGGGTGAGCATGTGGATGACGCCACATCTGATATCTATGTGCAAAGCAAAGAGGGCCGCAGTTGCAAGATCCCGCAGTGACTGGAGCGTAGTGTCAAAAACGGTGGCGGTCTCTTGGTTAAGCGGGAGGTAGACCGGCTGGTTAATACTATCGCGCTTTGGCTTCATTGCTCCAATTAAGGTCCATCTGCGGTTTGGTCGACTTTCAGATTGTGACTGCCGAGTCTCTGGACTGGGTTGCGTTATTTGCCGGAGTTTGGAGAGATGGCTTGCAAGCCATTGCTAACCCAGCATCAGCTATGCTCTATTAAGAATGCCCGGACTAAAAACTCACCATGCTGTTGTAAAGAAGTGACAGAGAGACAACAGTTTTGGGGTCTGATATGATGTCATACGGCTCCAAAGGCACTTTGGTTGTTTGTTGAAGGAGGAGATCAGTTTCCTAGACGAAGATTAGACTGTGTTCATGAAACTGGGTAACCAACGAATAGGCAGATACCTTGTCTATGAGCTTCTGCTTGTTGCTAGTATCATTTGTCCACAACTCGTTGACCACATCGCGGATATCACCAGATTCGGCATATTGCGCTGCGGCTCTGAGCCGCACAGTATTATTATCACGAGCCGAAACCTTTGTCACCATGGCTGGAAGGACATATTAGTCTAGCTGTAGAATAGAGCGTGCTTTGCTTCGTACCTCTGTACCAGCCACAACACTTGTCATAGTATGTCATGATTTGAGTGATGAGGAGTTGCGAAAAGGCTTGGTCAGGAGGGATGCTAGACAGCATCTTACTGAACTCGCGGACGATAGACATGAATTTGACAGTTCCCTGGAATCCGTGTTAGACAAACTCTCGCCGTCAAAAGACGAGTTTTTACCTTGAAAATCGGGCGAGGAGCCACGGTTGACCACTGGGGATCCTGCATGAAAGCATCGGCGGCGATGAAACTGAGAGTACACAAGTCCGTGACAGTTTCGTCCAGTTGAGGGAGGAACACATTGACAAGGAAGTCATCCAAGAATGTCGTCAAGGAGCTCATTGCGATGTCCGAATCCACGGGAACGATCTCTTTTAAACGTTGGATGAAGGACAGGGAGGGAGGCAGAAGCAGACTCATGTTGAACACGCTAGGTTCAATAAGAATCTTATGCCCCGTTCCAGCCTGTCGTGAAGAAGGCATGTCACTGGCGGCAGATTTCTGCCTTGTCTTCGACACTAAACCAGGGACGGATGACCGAAGGATCTCATCCAACTCGTCTTGCTCGGCCTTCATCTCTGTAGACCCATCGGCTTCAGACAATTTGAACATTTTCTGCCAACTGTTAGTAACTGGTTGATTGCCCGGTATTGTTTTTGAAAGATACCTTGTTCTTATCTCTGAGGCCGGCGTATAGCATGCGCTTATTATCAGCATCCTCGCCTGGACGCAAGGACGATTCTCCATCCGTTGCCAGATAGTCGTGCATCAGGCTACGGATCTGCAGAAGGAAAGCCATCAGCAAAAGATGTCACGACGAACGTGAGGGTACGCTTTGCACTTACCTCGCTTTGATAGAGCTTCCAAAGCTCCTTAAATCCGCCCGCAAGTGCGCTGCTTTTAGGGATCGCTTCGCGTTCAACTATTCCAGAGATCACATCATGAACGACACGATGGCCTTCAGCAATAGCTTCAAACTTGGCATACAATGTCCACAAGAATTCCATAAGGACATGGCCGCGCTCTTCAATGATCTCTGTGGGGAGCGCGGATTTGCTATCCTGCGACGAAAAGCCACGAGTCAGGTTCGGGTAGCGTGCATCAATTTCCGCGTTCGTCTTGTCAACCACTGTGAAAAGCTCGACTGGAAGCCGTTGTTCAATTCGGTCCACCGCGATGTCCAGATGACCCATTTTGTTCAGGGACTCAATCAATAACTGGATGTAGTGAAATGTATCTGCCTCTGGATTCCGAGAAGCGTCTTCCACCATTGGAGTTGAAGCGTCCAGCTTTGCAAGAAAAGCATGTACGGGCCTCTCCCAGGTATTGATGCCGACCCAGTTAGTAGGGTTGCCGTTATTGCTTTCTCCCTCTGGCGTCGGTGGTTTCCATCTACCAGAGCAGTAAGGAGATTTGAGGTACAAGTGATCATGCAGCTCCTCCACCAAAATGTCCGTCAAAGATGATTCTTGGTTCGCGAAATAGGCACGAATGTCTGCGAGGGCGCCGATGTTGTCCAGTTCGGATCGCCGCAGAAGGCGGAACGCATCGTGGAGTACTTCGACCGCTGCAAGAAACCGCTTATCCGATATCCGGGACTCCAGCTTCTCGGGGAGTGATTGTATCTCTTCAATCTGGCTGAATAATTGAATGATGTCGTCGTAGTTCTGCGACGATGTTGCCAGTCCTTTTAACTCAGGCTTAGTCGAGAGAAGTCCGGATTTCGCTCCCTCTAACGCGTTCTTGAGAGCGCGTACACGACCCTGAGAGCTTTGTATACTACTCTGTATTTTGTGGTATGTACCGATAGAGCTGTTGAATCCCTGGTGATGTTCTACCGATATCACATCAGCACTAACCCACGCCAGTTATAGTCCATGAGTACCCACCGTTGACAACGGATTTCAGAGTCTTTTGTATTCGATCGCGCATGAGTAGAAAATCTGGCTCGCGTTCTGCTTTGCCTAATGTACTTGTGTCCATCAATTGCAAGGCCACTTGGACCGGCACACAGTCGTCGGAGGCAACAAAATCCCAATCGCGCTGGACGGATTGCAAAACCTCTGTTGAGAATATCACAGACGGTTAGCACACTACTCAACGATATGGGTCGCAATTCCAAGATATGGACAAAAATGATACGCGTGGACAGCACTGACCTTCGACAGCCTGGGGTCCTACCGCACCGCTCCTGGCGACATGGGGGACTTCTCTTCCGACTTTCGGGCGCCAACCAGCTGGACTCTTCAGGGGCTCTACCATCGCGAGAGCTCGGCAGCCTGCCTTCCGACTCGCCATCGCGAGTCCGTGACCGTGAGGACGAGTAGCCGCGATCCTGGTCCCATCTGTCGCGCGGTCTCTCCGGCGAGCGGGATGCTGCTAAAGCAGGTTGCTGGGACTCTTCCGGGTAAAAACCACCGTAGCCACCCGGGCGACGCTCTCGTCCTCCTCCACCACCACCGCCACTGCCATAGTTATTCACCCCGAGGTTATTGTTGCCGGTGTAACTCCCATCGGTGCCGCCATACCGGCTGGAGTCGGAGTATCCGTATCCGTTGGCGTAGCCGGCTCTGCCACTCATACCAAATCGCTTACTCTCAATCTAGACCGAACCAGATCGGGTATGTGTACTGGACGTTATGTGGTATGCAAGGCGACGGAAAGCTCGTGTTGTCTTGAAGTCGTAGCGTTCCGGCTTTGGAGTTGTGTGATCATTCAGGAGGGAAAGTTGGCATAGTTTCGTCGATGCGACAGGATGCGTGTTGCGATTTAGAGGTTCCCTGTATACGACGAGAGTTCTTTGGGATGGCAAGCCACGGCTGGGGGCGTCTTTGTGGTTAGGAAGGGGTAATGCGACAAGCAAGAGGCAGTCGATAGTCCGGAGAACGGATGGTTCTGTGTAGGTGTCGGCAGCGGCACGGGTTCTCCACATAAGCACTCCAAACGGCCCAGCCACATTCCGTAATGCCCAGCGCGGTACGACAGTACTATGTGTCCTTGTTCCTCTACGGAGTACGCCCTAATTTAATTCATATACCAGAATGCATTATCTATTTTCCAATGATGGAGTCTATTAGATTGCAGATCTCGAAAGGAACAGGCATGTGTTCCTTGGTTCCCGTCCAGTGATGTATCTGAGTACGGATGGGTCTCACTTGGAGATCGGCTGAGTCTCGCGCTGAAGCCAGCTCCGAGTACGCTCATCGTTCTGGAAGAAATGATGAGTCTTCTCCCAGACCTCTGCATGGTAGTCGTTCACCCATTTGATCTCGCTATCACTGAGAAGGGATGGTTCAATCAAATTCAGTCCTATCGGAGCCATGGTGACATGCTCAAAGCCCAACCAAGGTCGGTCACCGAATTTGTGCGGAGTCTGGACCTCACGTGCCATGATAACGTCTGTTTACAAATTGTTAGCCTGCGTTCCTTGGGCACACTACACTGCTCGGGGTGAAGGCCTTACTCTCAATGCGAATGCCGAATTTACCATCCTCGTAGAACCCAGGCTCGTTCGAGATGACGTTTCCAGGAGCGATCGGGACCTCAGTATACTGGACACGGGTTCCGATGCCCATGGGTCCTTCATGAACATTCAAGTAGGATCCAATACCGTGACCGGTGCCATGAAGGTAATCAAGACCTTCCTGCCACAGGTACTGTCTAGCGAGGACATCGAGCGCAAAGCCACTCGTGCCCTTAGGGAACACGGCAGAGTCGAGCGCGATCATACCCTTCAGAACCAAGGTAAAAGCCTTCTTCTCAAGCTCAGTAGGCTTTCCAAAATGGAATGTCCGAGTGACATCCGTTGTTCCATCCAAAAACTGAGCTCCAGAGTCACAGAGATAAATCGCGTTGGGGTCAATGATGGAGCAGCTACCCTTCTCAGGCTTATAGTGAATGACAGCTCCATTGGGACCGGTGGACGAGATAGTGTCAAACGACAAACCGGCGAACAGCTCATGCTTCGACCTGATCTGTTCCAGTTTGTCTGCGGCATCAACTTCGTCGAGGGTAGTCTTCTTGTTGACCAATTCATTCTCGAGCCAAGCGAAGTACTCGATCAGGGCAGCACCATCCCGAATATGGCAAGCTCGCATGCCTGACAGTTCCACGTCGTTCTTCACGGCCTTAGCATCGGCAATTGGGCTGCGAACTTCCTCCGTCTGCTCCTCGCCTCCTAGGCTGAGGCTAAGCGCCCACGAAGCCTTGTTGGAGAGAAGGAACTTAGGGGCCGCATCTCCAGCATCTTGCTTTCTTGCGGCACTCAAGGCCTCTGCGTCGGCGTAAATGGAATCGTACGGCTTGACAACGACGTCTTGGCCCAGATGCGCTTTGACTTCCGGCGTCAGCTTGTCATCGTCGACATACAGCTCCGCAGTAGTGGGAGTGATGATTGCATAGGAGAAGAATACGGGGTTGTAAGGGATACTGCAGCGAGCTGTTAGTCTATTCTCAGGACACGTACACTCCACAGTATATCAGACTCACTCAGTTCCTCTCAGGTTGAACAACCAGGCAATCTCATCAAGCATAGCTGCAATACATGTTAGTTACGAAATTAGGGGTATGTGTGCGGCTGGGGCGCGTACAGATAACAAAACCCGCCGTCTTCTTTTTTTCCAATTCCTTGCGCAGTTCGCTGATCTTGTCTTGGAAACTCTTTCCGGCAAATTTCTCAGGATGCACAGTTACCTTCTCCCTGGGAGGGGAGGGACGATCATTGCCCCAGACCAGATCGACGAGATTGGGACGGATGCCCTTTAGAGACGACCCATTCTTTTGAAGAGTCTCTGAGAGGCTACGAGCTCCGGCTTTGTGGTATGAGTTAGATGCTCAGGAGCGCGGGCCAAAAATACAACGACTCACATGCTGTGATAAGAGCCGGGTCCACGCCAACAACCTTGCCACCCTCGGCCTGCTCAGTGGTCCTAAGCCATCATAGTCAGCCACTTGTTTCCGAGTATAAGAATTATTTCGCCAAACATACCATTCCTGCCAGGTTTGGACGCCTTCAACGCCGCGCTTGAGGAGCACCCAGTTGCTGTCGAGCTGCTTGGAGGCCTGGTTGAAATAACGTCCATCAGTCGACAAAGCTGCCTTGGTCAGAGAGACAATGGCAGTGCCCGCGGATCCAGAAAAGCCCGAAATGAATTCTATGGGGAGGAGCGTCAGCGGCGGATGACGCGGTGCGGGTGTGCGACAACCGACGAAGGAAGGGATCAAGGGCGTAATCTAACCTCGACGACCATCACAGGGAGCGATATATTCGGACTGGTGACTATCTTCCGACGGGACGACTGTCGACTGGGTCAGAATCTAGCCTTATCGGTAGCTATACAGAACGAGTGAAGTGATTTGATGATGTCATACTGTATACGTCCACTTGGTGGTCCTTCATCAGCTGTCGCAGTCGCGACAGGCGCTCGGTAGTATCCACAGTCTCCATGTCGACAGCGTAGCGTGGAACAGAGATAGAAAAGAACCTGGGACGAGAGAGGGGTAGTTGGCGGGCCGATCGGAAAGCTGATGACCAGGCGAGTCGAATGGGAGGGTGAGAAAAGAGCATCGACAGACGGTGTTGAGCTGCAGGTGTCCGAAGGTAAAGGCAATCGGATTCACAATCTGCAGGCACAACCTTTTTGAAGGTTGTACAAAGCCACAGTCCGGGACAAAAAGAAAGGTAGAAGAGGGAGGTTCAATTGCCCGGAGATGGTCGTGTGAGGTGCTGTTGTGGCCGACGTGGAGACGAGACGATAAAGATCAGGGTGGTTGATACCTGAGGCAACAGTACATTGCTCAGGGTGCATACAAAAGGAACGGTCCGTGCCCCTTCATCCTACCCGGGATGCTTTCTTTTGACCCTTTCCTTTTCCGTTTCTCTCTTCCAAGTTGAACAGGAGGCTTCTACCTATTTAATTCTCTCTCTGTCCTCAGAGCGCTTCCCTACGGAGTGACTTTGTGCATCCCTCCCTGGTCAACTTGCTGTCGTGCTCTGTTACCCCTCCACTGACCGCCTGACAGTTCTGGTAATTCTCGTTATCAGCACGTGACACACCCCTTTCCCACTGCTTTCCTCCACCTTCATCTGGCTATCTATATCGATCGCATCGCATCGCATCCTTCTCCCTCCAACTTGCTTCGGTCATGTCCGGGGACGTCTCGGGTCAGGCTTCTGATGTGCAGAGCCTTCTCCATGAGGCCAGAACAGTATGTGTGTCAGATTAATGGGTTCATTCATGGCATGATATTTAATGCGACCTTCTAGCTCGTAGCTCAGCTCTATGATCCCGCAAACACCGGCAACCCCGCCAAGATCAAGGCGATCCAAGACCATCTACAGATCCTCCAGAAAAGTCCCCAAGCCTGGCTTATTGCCAATGATCTTCTCACGGATGATGCCACGGGCTCAAGATTCTTCGGCGCATTAACCTTCACCGTTAAAATTAACCATGACTGGTGCGTATATCTCGTTGTTTAGCCGTGAAAGGTGTCTTATTTTTCGCGCTGCGGCACTGGACTGACCGCCTCCACAGGCAACAATTAAGTGAGATTGAAGCAAAAGAGCTCCTCGCACGTTTGATTGACCACTACATCCTCTTGGTAAATGGAGGGGAACAGCCTATGGTCATACGGAAGCTGGCGACCAGTCTGGCTAATATTTTCCTCAAGCCCAATGCGCCTTGGGGACGTGCGGTGCTCAACCTAGCAGCTTCTTTCGCACATGGCAGCTACTTGCCAGAAGATCAATGTTCATCTGTTGATTTGCAAGCTGCCATACTCCCTGCGCTATCTGAAAGACAGGTGGTGACTTTGTTATATTTCTCCAATATACTTGCGGAGGAGATAGGCCGATGGAGCTCGGAGTCTCGACGAGGTGCAGACTCTAGCCGGATTGCAGACAATATCAAGGACGCCCTCTCTCTTGTCGAATACGTTCTGCACCGTATTCTCCAACAGGAATCTTCTGGTACTCCTGTGTCGGATGGAGCGGCAGGAATAGAAGCAATAAATTCTTATCAGGTACGACCCCTTTGTATCACCCCAATACTCTTGTTGTACCAGTGTCTGACTCCGTGTCACAAGTCATGGATGTCCGTCCGAGCAGGATTTCAAATGCGTGATACAATCTCGGCCGTGCAGCTTTCTCCCACCACGAATTATGTGATCCAAAGCATGGGGGTCTCCAGTTTAGCTCGGACGGCAATGCAAGTTTTGGTTGAACTGATAGATTGGCGGGACAGCATCTTCACCGCTGAGCACATCGACTCCATTCTGGAATTTATCGTCAGTGACTTTGGCACGGCTCACATTGCCTCTCTAATGGATGCCGATTTTGAAGACGAAAACATGACATTCTTGGAACTTCTATTGGCGTATGCTACGCTCAAGCAAAAAATGCTCTTGACACAGCCGTTGGATGAGAAGCACGAGAAGGTCCTAGCCTTGATTCACACCTTGTTGAAAGCTCCCGGGTATGCTGCAGTTGACGATTCGGCGTCGCCGATCGCTCTTGAATGGTGGACTGAAGTTGCCGACTATATGCAAGAAATCTACCTTGACTCGGAAGACCAAGCCAATCTGGGCCCTGCGAAACAGAATCTGGCTCGTGCCGCCATGGACTGTTTTGAAAAGCTAAAGTATCCGTCTCCGCAAGAACTGCAAGAGTGGAGTGATGACGATCGCAGTGAATTTGCTGCGTTTCGTCGCGACGTCTGTGACTTCTTACTAGCAGTGTATCCAATTCTCGGGGTGGATCTGGTCCGGGTTTTCCAAGAGCAAGCGCGGTCCTCGCTGATGCAGCAAGACTGGAGGACATTTGAGGCTGCAGTGTTCTGCCTCGGACAGCTTTCTGAAGCTGTGGATGAAAACCAGCATGCGGATGAATGTCTCAACGCAATCTTCTTTTCCGAGGATTTTGCTCGCTTATGCGAGAGTAGAGACGTCAAGATTCCAGACAGGTCTCGCCAAACGTTGGTAGACATGCTGGGAAAGTACCAATCGTATTTTGAACGGACTCATGCTTTACTCCCCCGAGTCTTGACCTTCCTCTTCGCGTCCCTCGATGTTGCGTCGTGTGCTCCAGTAGCATCCAAATCGATATCCTATCTTTGCAAGTCATGCCGCAACGCACTTACAATGGAGCTTCCAGTTTTCTTGGACCAGTTCGAGGCCTTCCGGTTCAAGCCTACGGCAACATCTCTTACGATGGAAAGGGTCCTGGAAGGTATCGCTGCGATCATACAGACCTTGCCTGCGGATGAAGAAAAGGCACGGTATCTGGAGAGAATCGTCAAATTCTTTCACGAACAAGCAGAGATCGCGCGAGACGAAGCCGCTCGTGGCCTTATAGAGCCTGCCCAGAATCGCGGCCAGTTTGCGCTACGCTGCATTGCAAGCGTCGGAAAGGGCCTTCGAGCGGACCATGAGATCGTCTTGGATTCAAGTGACACCGGACACGGCGGCCCTTACCCACCTACATTCTGGAATGCTGGGAATGGCGCTGCGACTCAGAACCTAATCATGCAAACCATGCAACTCCTCATGACCGACTTCCCCTTCGATGTGGCCATTATTGAAGCAGTATGCGACATATTGAAAGCGGGCTACACCGAACGGACAGGACCATATGTGTTCCCTCCGATGGTTACCGTTAACTTTGTGAACAGCATACCTCCGGGTAGCACTGGTATTGATATGGTCATGGGCACTGCGTCCGCGTTCTTGGCTTCGCATAGCGCACATCCTGAAAGCATTCGTGCCGAGGCAGTTGCTTTGATTGTGCACGTCTATGAAACTTTCTGCTGGATGCATGAAAAACCAGAGTTTTACGATCCTGAAGTTGCCAACGGCGGGATCGATTTCCTCACTCGCTTGCTTCCCAAGTACCACGAGTTCCTTTTCTCCCTGACCGGAGCTCCGCCCGCGTCCGAGCCAGCCGGGACACAGCGACCGCCGGTTCTCCAGGCCATCCTGAACTTTACTCTTCTCGCCTTGCAGGGCACAGAGCCGCTGCCACTTCGTTCAGCTTCGCAGTTTTGGGTGGGCGTGATGAACCTGCCTGGCCATGTGGAGACCATCCAGAGTGCTCTCCGGGACAGTATTCCTGCCTTATGCCGTATCTTGATAACTCAGGTAGCCGGACGATGCGCCCGATCCGATCTGGAACATCTCTGTGAGGTGCTCCGAAAAGTGGTCTTCAAACAGCAGGCCCTCGCTCGTCCACATTTAACCGCTGCCCTAGCCGAACTTGACAACCACCAAACCAGTCACAGCCCGGGCAACCTCCCATCGGCGGAGGAGAGACAACGTTTCCTTGCGTCTCTCCTTGCTGCGAGGGGCGGCAAAGCACCAACCGTCTCCCTGACGCGGACGTTTTGGGTAAAATGTCGTGGGGCGGGCTTCGACTATATTGGGTAGATAACGGATAATATGAAACGCTTAGACGAACAGAGAGTGCTGGCGATAGTAAGTCCAATGCTCCAGGATTCCAGTGGCGGTCCAGTGTAACACTCAGTATGAATAGCATCACAGCATCTGTGTACGGACTATTTTTATCACCACCACGACGCAGTGCCACTCTGTCAAGTGGGTCGGATGCATGCCCTTCAGCCACCGAGGCGGTGCACGTCCAGGCGTCAAGGCACCAGCCAGGTGTGCTGTGAGTTGGTTTGAAGCCCAGTGTCTCCGTCGGGTGGAATGAGACGCGGTGGAGTGAATTGGTCTCTTTCGATCATACGGTTGGATGTGGTTGCTTTGGGTATGTTTCGAAGTCCGCCCTACGAATTGATCGGCGTGCTGCCTAAGAATCTGACATTCCTCAAGAACCCACTAACTAGTCTAATTATTCTACTTTAATACTGCTATTCCTCCATCTTGACACCTCAATTCCGCCAGAAGTTCTTTCATCGTTAGCATGCCTCATATCGCCAATACCCCAGAATCTATCGTCTCCCGTACCGATTCACTCAACCCAGCAACAACATGTAGGGGTGTTACAGCAAATGGGCGGCCGTGTCGTCGCGCACTGGCATCTTCCCCGAATTCTTCGCCTTCGGGGTCTCCTGCAAAGCATAATGGGACATACCGTGCAGACCCTTCCTCGCTATACTGCTGGCAACACAAAGACCAGGCGGGTTCAGTGTCAGCGTCGAACAAGCCAGATCGTTTCGACATGAAAGCGCGAACAAGCATCGACACTCTGATGGATCGATTAGGCGTCTTGGATATCAACGACGCCCAGACGGACCCCAAGAAGCGCAGAGATTCTCGGATGCGACCCAAGAAACAGACCAAAAGAACTATCTGCTGCTGCTTTACCGTCATTGAAGACGAGGCTCCTGTAGCACCACGGCCCTCCCGTCCGTCCGGCAACCGACCGACAGAAAGGCCTCCCCAGATGCAACAAGTATCATCTCCCGGGGTCGCTGCGAAGCCTCAGCGTCCGTCTTCAAAACCATCTTCCCAGTCAGGACTCCTGTCACCCCCACAGACACCATCTCGACCGTCTCTGCAGAGCTCGCAGAACTCCTCCTCATCGCAGACCAAGACTCTCCTCTCGTGGATTCCCGCAACCCTCACCCCCCAAACAACCTCCGCCCTGCTCACCGAACTGGCAAAGCCGATCTCAGAGGCCGACGAGCCGGGCTACATCTACATGTTCTGGGTGACGCCGACGACGACGACGCGATCAGGACCTCCATCGGCCGAGGTCGCCTCATCCCTGCTCCCAGCGCCCAGCACAACACGCAGCCGACGGGTTAGCGACGCCCTCCAGACGGCCCGCGACCTCAACGCCCTGACATCCCAACCAACGCGCCACAGCCCCGGCGCGATCCGCCTGAAGATCGGGCGCACGAGCAACGTCCAGCGGCGTCTGAACGAGTGGACGCGCCAGTGCTCGCACGACCTGACCCTCATCCGCTACTACCCCTACACGCCGTCGGCGTCGTCGGCGCCCTCGCTGTCCGGGCGCAAAGTGCCACACGTCCACCGCGTGGAGCGGCTGATCCATCTGGAGCTGGGGGACATCCGCGTGCGCGACCTCGGACGCTGCGACGAGTGCGGCAAGGAGCATCGCGAGTGGTTTGAGGTGGCGGCGGAGAAGAGCGCGCTGAAACGCGTGGACGACTGTATCCGGCGGTGGGTGCAGTGGGCGGAGAGCCGGTAGATTGGCTTATACTTCTGGTACTATGCATGTATGGCGAACGGTGTTTCTTAGTAAGGCTTCAGCTCTCAGATATCCATTACATCACACATCCAACAATCTTGCAAGCAAACATAAAAGCGCAGCGCAATTCGAATTCTTTCCCACATCCATCAGACCATCCACAAACTTCCCATCCCGATGCAGCAGGCACCGTTCTATAGATTCTCACACAGCCACTCTAAAGCCATCACCGGAAGAACCCCGAACACATAACCCCCCAGGATCACCGGGGCACACACACAACTCCCCACAAATGAGAGGAAAAACACCACGCCCGTGACCACCACAAACAAGGCCACCATGCCGAACACCACCACGAACGGCGCCACAAAAGCGACAGCGAGCATGGTTCCCACGAGGAGAAGCATCACCGGCGGGAAGGCGACGAACCCCCCCACGAGCCCGACCAGGCTTGCGACCACGCCCGACCAGTCGATCTGGTCGTCTAGACTGTACGGCGCGCCATCGTCGTCTTCGCGGAAGATCTCGTCCACGTTGGCGGCGGGCCACTTGTTTAGGGGGTCTAGCGGGGAGAGATCATAGGGCTGGCCTGGGGCCTGGTTTGGAGGCGGGGAATTGAAGATGGAGGACATTGTTAGGTCTTGGAGGGATGTTGTGTTCGGGATGGTTGTGTGGTGGCGGGGATGATTTATTGGTGTCGAGGTTGACGGGGGCTCACTCACCATGACGGTAAACTCTCGCCATCACGGATCATTGTGCTGTCCAACAACTGCGGACGACTACGTCAGAGCGTGCGTTCGTAGCTCATCACGTCTATTCCCAATGCTCAAGCTGAGACAAAGATACAAATCAAGTGATTGATGCCCATGACCAAGTTTTTTAAACAAAACGCCCGCCAGGAAAGATGATCTGACATATACAACAAACATTCAACGCTCTACCACCCCCGCTTGGCCAGCTTGTCGGTCTCGTGCATTTGGGAGACGTTGATGCCGACCATGGCCTCGCCGAGCCCCTCGCTGACCTCGGCCAGGACCTTGGGGTCCTTGAAGTGCGTGACGGCCTGGACGATAGCCTTGGCGCGCTTCTTGGCGTCGCCGGACTTGAAGATGCCGGAGCCGACGAAGACGCCGTCACAGCCCAGCTGCATCATGAGGGCGGCGTCGGCCGGGGTGGCGACACCACCGGCGGCGAAGTTGACGACGGGGAGCCGGCCCTTCTCGGCGGTCTCGCGAAGGAGCTCGTAGGAGCAGCCGAGCTCGCGGGCGAAGGCGCGGAGCTCGGGCTCCGGGTCGGCGGCGGACTGCAGGATGGCGCGGGCACGGGCAATCTCGGCGTTGACGGTGCGCATGTGCTTGACGGCCTCGACGACGTCGCCGGTGCCGGCCTCACCCTTGGTGCGGATCATGGCAGCGCCCTCAGAGATGCGGCGCAGGGCCTCGCCCAGGTTGCGGCAGCCGCAGACGAAGGGGGCCTTGAAGTTGTGCTTGGTGACGTGGTAGAGGTCATCGGCGGGGGTGAGGACTTCGGACTCGTCGATGTAGTCGATGCCAATGGCTTCGAGGATCTGGGGGTGTTAGCCGGGGTCATTGGGACTGGTAATAGAAAAGGGTACGTACCTGGCACTCGACAAAGTGACCGATACGCGCCTTGGCCATGACGGGGATGGTGACGGCGTTCATGATCTCCTTGATCATGCTGGGGTCGGACATGCGGGCGACGCCACCCTGGGCCCTGATATCGGCGGGGACCCGCTCGAGAGCCATGACAGCGGCGGCACCGGCCTCTTCGGCAATGCGGGCCTAATCCGTTAGCAGGGGACTATAGAGAAGAGGAATGAGGGATTGCGAGTACCTGTTCGGCATTGACGACGTCCATGATAACACCGCCCTTGAGCATCTGGGCCAGACCGGCCTTGACGGTGAAGTCGGTGGAGGAACCGTTCTGGGCAGCCATTGTGGAGGAGTAGAGAAAGGAGTGGTTGAAGAAAGAAAGAAGGAAGGAGAAGGAGAATAATACAGTCTATATGTACGGGAGAAGAAGAGAAAAAAAGAGAGAGTAAAAGAGGAAGAGAAGAGAAAAGAGTGAGTCAACTGCTGTCCCTCCGCCTTCTGGACACCGGCGTGTCTTCCCCGCCATGCCACATTTTTTGCCGCCAATTTTCGTCTTCCGCGGCGGGTTCGCCCAATCAGCAGGCGAGCGTCCCCCCAAAAGGCTCAGTAAAGTTTTGGCCAATCGGCCAATCCACTCGCCGCCCGTCGGCCTGTCGCTTTTCCGCGGGATTCATCATATGACAGTCGAGTATCTAGTATTATTAGTTTATAGTATATAGTATACTTAGCTTGATGCGTATTTAGTACACTGACTATAAGTGTATATCGGAGTAGGTGGTGGTCGGGACCGATGGAAGCATCTCACCTTCCTCATCGGGAAGGAACTCACTGCATAATTACTCAGCATTCCCGCTGACACACTATGCACCGTGCATCCCCCATCCTGACGTCACCCCCGCATCCCCGTCATCTCCATACTTCTAGCTTCCTCTCTGTCACTCTTACTCCTTCCTCTCCCTGATACTCCTCTAATCCCCAATTGAACTTCAATTGCCTTCCCATACTCAACCCACACAATGTCCTTTCTTCTCTCCCGCTCCGCCGTCCTCGGCGTCGGTCTCGGCCTCTCCCTCTCCCTGCACCCCCTCTCTCCCTTCCGTGCCTCTCCTATGCAATGCCAATACTCGGCCCCCTACTACCGGCCCGACTCTCAGGCTTCACCCGACTCTCCCTGGGCCATGAACTCCCAGGATCCCCTCCTGCGCAAGCAGGGCACAACCCGCCCCCAGTCCACAGGGAGCGGCCTTCTCACCGCGTCCAACATGCGACAGGTGAGCATGGGCAGCGTTCTGGGGCTGGTCGTCGGCGTGGGATTGCGGGCCTTTTCGCGCGCGTTGGTAGTGTTGATTGGGATGGGGGTCGTCGTTATCGAGGTATGTCATCCTGTCGAGTGTCGCGAGCTACGAGCTAATACAAGTGACTTCATGCATAGTGGGCCGCGTCCAAGGGGTATAATATCCTGCCACTGCACCGCATGCAGAAATACGTCAAAGGGGTCGATCTCCAAAAGGCCGTCTCGCGCAACGTGCCCTTCAAGATCAGCTTCGGTGCCACCATGGCACTGGCCGCCTTTGCGCAGTTCTAGTCAGCCGCGTTCATTGCTTGGGTGTTGAAGAGAAATATTGTATATATTATCTATGACGAGAGATGGCAACTATCCAGCTCTAGCTAGTCAAAACACGTCTCTTCCCACGACTAAATGCGGTCTTGTACAAGGGGTATCATAATCATGCAACTCTTTTAACTCAGGATCAGATCTTCCAGCACACCCTCCATCTCTTCGCGAGACAGCGGCACCCCCAGGATCTCCATCCCGCTCGTGTCCATCCGAGACGTGATCATCTGATGGTCGTGGAATTCCTTCAGCAGCGTGCGGAACATCATCTCCGACGAGGCTATGAACTCCTCCGCCGCCTTCTGGTACAGCAGACGGAATTCAATGCCCGGTTCTTCTTTGCCGTCTCCCTCTCGGCCAGCTCCCCGGCCCTCATCGCCATCCATATCGTCGTCCGAGTGGTGGCCTTCATCAAACAGTGACACGATCTCGGTCAGAAGGAGCCGGTACAGATTGCGCGCATTCTCCGGGAGACTCTTCAGCACAAATTCGACACCCTCCTTGCCGCCAACCCGGCGGCCCTTGCGACCCAGGAGACTGTGCACTTCTTCCACGACGTCGAACTCGGTGTCAAACGGAGAGAACGTGGTGCAGTCGTGGAAGACAAAGTTGAACTGGTCCCGCAGGCTAATATCCCACATCAGCAAAAAGTTCGGCGTATCGGCCGTGGCCAGCAGGTGGATTTTGGGTGTGGCCGCCAGACGGGCGAGGAGTGCCTGATTCGCCGCTCGCCGAAGAGAGGGCGCATCAATCGAGTTGATCAGCACGGTAATGGGCTTTTGCGCGGGCCGTGACTTGATCACCGACTGCAATAATTCCAACACCTCAATCGGCTGCGAGCCCATCTTGGATGGAATGTGCTCCTCCAGCACTGCGGTCACAATCGTGGCAAAGATCGATCGGATGGACACGTTCGGCGTATGTCCGTTCACGACCACAATCGGCGACGGGTTCTCTGTGTCCTTCGCGTAGTGCCAATCTGCAAAATTCTCCAGCAGCTTCCGCTTTGAGCCGTACCCATACAAGCAAATGTTGAATCCCTCGTGGAACTCGAAATCCCATTGTGGAAATGACCGACGGTGTAGATCGAGGAGAAAGGCTTTTTCGTTCTTGTAGGGGTCCACGTATTGGTCCAATTTCGCAAAGTACTCCTCGTGGGTCAGCAGCGATACCTTGTTCAGGTTGTTGTTCGACGTCTTCGGGGGTCCAGCGCGGTTCTGGAAAAAGTACCGTTCATGCGCAGGAAGTTCTCCTTCTGGCGTGGGAGACCGTTTGTTCTTTGCACCCTTGGGTCTTCCTGCACGGCGTTTCGGCGTTGCCGCTGGTTTAGCTGGGGCCGCTTCCCCTGTCTCCGCTTCCACGCTCTCAACCACATTTTCCTTGCCTTTGCCTTTCTTGCCCTTCGCAGGTGTGTCGGGGGTATAATCGTTATCGTCATCATCATCCAGAATCTCCTCCGCCAAACGATCCGCCCCATCCCAGATATCATCCTCGTCCTGTTCGAGAAGAAGACGAGCGCTCTTCTTCTTGGCCGATCGATCAGCCCGTGCACGTGCCGGGGTAGAAACGGTGGCTGCGGATTTCGTAGGCGTCGAGAACAGAGCCTTGGCTTTTGATCTGTGCGTGGGTGTTTTGAGTCCGGACTCTTTCAGGGCAGCCGGGGTTGCAGCGGTCGGTTTTTGGGGTGTGGACTTGACCCGTTTGGACGGAGGCGCGTCCTCCGTAACGTGTCCATTGGTGTGACCATTGGGAGAGCCATTGAGGATCGTAGCGGTCCGCTGTCTCTTTGGCGTCGAGACGGGACGCTCGTCATCCGAGTCTGGTTGCTTGCGTTTCATTTCAGTCAGCGCGGTCCGTCCGTGGGATGACGACCAGGTTAGAGCAAAATACCATGCAGACGCGATCAGTGGCAGGAAAGCTCTGGAAAGGGAAGAAGAGCTGAGGGTGGAATGCAAGGGATGGGGGAGCTGGAATGTTGATCGATCTGCCGTCGCCTTTCTTTATCGGCGCGTGAGGAGGGCCGACAGTTTCTCCGGGATGGCGGCGGTATCGGAGTAATCGCCGTTGCTCCAGTATACTTCTTTTTTCCTCCTCGTCCCTCTTCCTCTCCAGATCGCACCGCTGCGCCGACAGAGAACTGGTCTTCCATCCTTCGATCGGACAGGCTTGTGTGGTGGACTGGCTGTCGTGTGTCGTTAACCACGCAGCTGCAGTGCTTCGGCTGAGTCAATTAGCATTATCTGAGTCACCGTTGATCTCCATAACTCCCCGCACATCAATTGTGGCCGTAGGTGAAGATTCCTTCGGTCTTTTGTGTGATCTAGCTGCTGATACCTCCGTTCATAGCTCCATGGCCTCTCCCGCTCAGCCGGCAGCCACAATGGCTGTCTTTGCGCGCATGGTGAAGGGTCAAGTGCGCCACTACTCTGCCCCGGTGGACATGGCCATTCCGGCATCCAAGCGCAAGTTCATCCCCTCGTCTGGATCGTATCCCAAGGGCTTCCTCGTCTCGGGTACCCACGTGGGTGTCAAGGCCTCCAACACCAAGTTCCCCGATTTGGCCCTGATCTCCTCTGAAACGCCCTGTTCCGCCGCGGCCGTCTTCACCACCAACAAGTTCCAGGCCGCCCCTGTCCAGGTCAGCCGTGATATTCTGAAGACCCGCCAGGGACACGGCATCCGGTCCGTCGTGATCAACTCCGGCTGCGCCAATGCTGTGACTGGAAAGGGTGGTCTGGAGGATGCTGTTGCGATGGGCAAGAAGGTGGATGAGTGCAACGGGCTCAATGAGCCCAGCACGCTCGTCATGAGCACTGGTGTCATTGGACAGCGGTATGCTCTCGTCCGCAAGAACACACGTCCGATAGCAAGACACTAACAACCCCAGTCTCCCCATCTCCAAGATCCTCAACAACATCCCCGCCGCCCACACGAACCTCTCGTCCACCCACGACGCCTGGCTGAGCACCGCCCGCGCCATCTGCACGACCGACACCTTCCCGAAGCTCCTGTCTCGCACGTTCACGCTCCCCTCGTCGCCCGAGCGCACCTACCGCCTCGCCGGAATGACCAAGGGCGCCGGCATGATCCACCCGAACATGGCCACGCTCCTAGGCGTTCTCTGCACCGACGCCCCCGTCGAGCCGTCCGCCCTGCAATCGCTCCTCAAATACGCCGTCGCGCGGTCCTTCAACTCCATCTCCATCGACGGCGACACCAGCACCAACGACACGGTCGCCATCCTCGCCAACGGCGCCGCCGGCGGGGCCCCCGTCACGTCGAGCGCCGCCTCCCCCGACTACACCGCCCTGCAGGACATCCTCACATCGTTCACGCAGTCGCTCTCGCAGCTGGTCGTGCGCGACGGCGAAGGCGCGACCAAGTTCGTCACCGTGCGCGTGCAGAACTCGCCGCACTACGAGTCCGCGCGCCTCATCGCCTCGACCATCGCCCGCTCGCCGCTCGTCAAGACTGCCCTCTACGGCCGCGACGCTAACTGGGGCCGCATCCTCTGCGCCATCGGCTATACCCAGGGTGTTGCGCCGGGTACCGTGGTGCCGGAGCGCACGAGCGTGAGCTTCAAGCCCGTCGACGGCAGTCCTATCCTGAAGCTGTTGGTGAACGGTGAGCCTGAGCAGGTTGATGAGGAGCGTGCCAGTGTCATTCTCCAGGAGGAGGATCTGGAGATCGTCGTCGATCTCGGTGGTGGCGAGAAGGGCGAGCAGGGTCTTGGTGGTGAGGAAGCTGTGTACTGGTTCTGTGATTTTAGTCATGAATATGTCACTATTAACGGTGACTACCGGACCTAGGTTAGGAGTAGATAGTTTGCGCTGAGCTCTTGCTGCGCTGATATACTGTTATATACCCCACGACTAATACAGTTCTGGATCCCTACTTGCGCCGTAGGTTTGAATACGCTATTGCAACAGAGACAGTCTACATTGTCAGCTGTTGGTACTCTTTTGAAGTATATATTTGTTCGTGCGCGGTCCGTTATATCCATACTCTCCCTCAAACGTATCGCTATGGACAAGGCAGAGAAATATATATCCTGGGCATCAGGCAAACTCGCAGATATGCTACACTTGTATAACCGTAGACTACCAGAACAAGCATCAATTAGATGTAATAAATGGTTTTTATCGTTCAATATGGTTACAACCTGGTGGTGCTATGTACAGTTGCAGCATAGGACTCCCTCCAATGCAAACCACCTATCCGTCCATGCAAAACCCTACCCCAGCCACAACAGCACACCACCCGGGAAGAAACGGGCAAATTACAAAATGGAACAAGAACAATTCAAAACCGCATCCTTCTTCTCATGTCACTCATCAAAGAAGAGGGACCCCCACTTTAGTTACCGGGAACGAGCCCCTTGAGGCCCGATCCGATATCGCCCTCACGGGCGGCAATTTCAAAGTAGCCATAGATGATACTGGGTTCTGTTAGCGCATGTCGTATTTCACAATCGAGAGGGAGAAACTTACGTCACGGCAAGGAGAATACCGGTGCCGCTACCAAGAGCACCGAGGAGGTCGGAGGCGACGGAGAGGGCACCGATGCAGGCACCACCGAAGGCAGCCGCAGTGGGAATGACACGCTTGAGCTCCTTGTACATGCTCTGCTCACGGTGACCGGCCATGACGAGACCCTGGTCCTTGAGCTGCTTGGCAACATCGCGGGGAGCGGAGCCGGACACCTCAATCCAGGTCTTGGAGAAGAGGGCACAGGCGACGAGCATGAAGGTGATATAGACCGCCGTGTGGATGGGGTCCAGAAGAGCCTCCTTGAAGTTAAGGGGAGGGGACATGTAGTAGGCGATACCCGAAGCAGCGTGGAGCTGAGCGGAGCCTTCGCGAGGCTCCCAGACTCCGAGAAGCTTGACGAGGATGTTATCCGAGAAGCGAGAGTACAGCATCTGACTGATCAGGAAGATGTTGGAGCAGAGGGCAGACTGGAGCATGATGGGCATGTTGGAGGTGTAGAAGAGACGGACGGGGTAGGAACCGCGCATGCCACGCTGGCGGGAGGACTTGACGGGGATCTCAACACGGAAGCCCTGGAGGTAGATGACGGCGGCGAAGACGAGGAGAGTGGCCAGGAGGTTCATGATGTTGGGGAGGTTCTGGCGGTAGAAGGCCTCCTGCAGAGCGCGTTGCTTGTCAGGCCAGGTCAGGAGGAGGTGGAACAGCGCGATGATGGCACCCTCGAACTCGGGACCACGGCCAGTGTTGATGGTAGTGGGGGAGAACGCCTTCCAGACGATGGACTCGCAAATGTTGGTCGCGATGAAGAGCGAGATACCGCTTCCAAGACCGTATCCCTTCTGGAGGAGCTCATCCAGAAGGATGACCACCAGACCGGCCACCACAAGCTGGACAATCAGCAGAACACAGATACCGGCACCAAGGTCGCTGGGCTGGCCATAGAGACCAGTCAGGACGTAGACACAGGCCTGACCGAAGGAGAGAATAATGGCGAAGAGCTTCTGAGCGGTCTGGTACAGCTCACGGTCGGTCTTGAGGTCGAGGTTGACATCGATGAGGTGGGTACCAGCGAGGAGCTAGACAGATGCGGTTGTTAGATCGGACAAGAACGGACACGTCAATGCGCTGGATGTGGCACGTACCTGGAACACCATGCCGGAGGAGATGATAGGGGTAATACCCAACTCCATCAGGGTACCCCGGTTACTGGCCAGCATCATACGGAGCCAGTACAGGGGATCCGAGGTGTCGGAGGAGACAATGCCGTACAAGGGCATCTGGCTCATGACCAGGAAGATCATCAGGGTCAACTGGAGATGAATGGATTAGCTTCGCAAGCTCCTGCGCGACCAATCCCTCGGCGACACATACCCCAGTCCACATCAACTTCTGGTTGAAGGGCACCTTGGTCTCGGGCGCAGCCACCTCCGGAAGGAGGGGCGTAAAGGGCTTAATCAGATCGAGGAAGCGAACTATGATAGAGATTTAGTATTTGCGAAACCATTGAGCCCATAGAGAGAGCATTGCTGCGATGACGATGGGTTCGCGTGCCGGGGAACTCACGTCCGCTCATGATGACAGATCCACCACCCTCGCCGAGGGATTAAAGACTAGGGAAGGATAAGGAAAGGGAAAAGAGGGTAGAGAATGAAGCTGGAGGGGAACCAGCAGAAGGAGAGGAAGTGTGAAAGAAGAAAAGGAAGAAGAAGAAGGATGGAGAGGGTGAAGGGGGGAGGAGGGAAATCGATGAGGTTGAGTTTCCCCAATAATCGAAGTCGCCTCGCTGGCCACTTTCGTCCAGCCACGCTAAACCCCTTGAGGCCACTTGGTCGCTTCCCCCCGATCATCCATCTCTCATCATCCCCAGAGCCATATCAACTGCTACTATAGGGGTCTTCTATGACAGTCAATTCAGGTATGTATTTAATTCCACACATAGTCGCATGCTATATAATATAGTCTATTATCCAGAGGCAAAAGGACCGTCCAGGGCCCTCAGAAGCCAAATACAGACACCATCTGGCGCATCCTGCATAGATACCATCTAGATATCCCGTAAATTCCCCGAAGCACCCATGTCGCACAATCATCCGATCTATCAGATATACAAGTCTAAGGGCCCACCATGCTCAGGCAGTCATCAATGACCAGTTCAAGCTCCCCCAGCCGGCTCTTCAGTCCTTTGTTCTCTTCCTTCAAAATCCCCATGACACTCCACGCTTCCGAGCTCGGCACGCCATGACAGATCGAACACCTGGCGGAGCTTCCCACCCACGAGCCGCCAATACCAGTCGATGCAAGACCCTTGATGACGCGATCGTAGGTAGATGGGCGGGGAGTAGGCGTCCCGGCGGGTTTCAGCTCCTTCTGACTCGAGGGCTGCGCGGTAGATGTAGGCGTGGACAGGGCGATTTGAGAAATGTTAGGCGACGGAGCCACAGTCGACGCGGGCGATTCCAGTCCTTCTCGACGTGAGAAGATACTCTCGGCCAGGCTTTCATCCCCTGACTCAAAGCCCGAGTCGCCACTGGTGAAGGTCGCGTTGCTGGCTCGCTTCAAGCTCCGTTTGGGAGTCCTTAGCTCTGGGCCCGCATCGGAGATGCTCTCGTCGTCGCTGGACCGGACGAGCATCACACTACGCCGGCGGGCTTCGTCTTCTCGACGACGCAGCTGTCGCTCCTGTTCCAACTCCTCCGCCATGGCTTTCATGGCTTTCTCCTGCTGGAGAACTTTCTCCGCCATGCCATCCAGCTGAATCTTGAGGTGTCCCACCCGAGTGCGGGTTTCCTCCAGCTCTTCTTGTTTCTCGCTCTTGTCGGCCAAGGTTTCGTGCAAGGCAAATGTCCTCTGTTTGTAGGCTGCCTGCAGCTGTCGGAGGATGTTGTCGGCGTTATTGCGCAGAGCATCAAAGGCCGCCTGGCCGCTGAGCTCGTTGCTTCCAGGCGGGAAGAGGGCCGCGTTGATATCGAGGTTGAGGAACTCATCTTCGGCGGGCTCGGGGAGGTCCATCTTGTTGTCCGAACGTTTTAACCCAAAGAACGAAAAGGGGCTGGACGAGGTGACCTGCTTTAATGGCGAGGGGGCCGTCATTCGTTTCTGCGCTCGGCTCATTGGTGTGCCGAGGGTGTCCATGGCGAGACCACCACGGGTTGATGCGGCGTCTGTTTCCGATGGTTGATATACCACCCCTAGATTGACTGGCTCTGATTTTCCCTGAAACCAGCCTGATAAGCGTTTCGCTCCCTCCTCGAGTGTTCTGCGAGCGATGTTTTCGGTTCCAGGCGAGCGCCGGTCCAGGTCTTCGTAGGTTTTGGGCTGGTCGGGAAAGAGCTGTCGGGCGGGTAGGGGAGCTTGTCGGCGAATGATCACTTCGGTATTGGCTCGACGGTGGTAAGAAGTGGTCTGGTTGGGGCGAGTTGGGTCGTTATCCTGTAGGAGAGGCGAGGGTCCATGGGAGCCATGAGCTAGCACGGCCGCAGGGGTGTTGGGGAGGGGTTTGAGGTCATGACAGGCTCGAACATCTCCTTCCTGCTCTGTCGGTGGAGGGATGGTTGTAGTGGCCGAGGGAGAGACGGAGGTCGAAGGGGCCGGAAGCATTGTTGGGATTGGATGTGAGAGAAAAAGGGATGGAGCCGAGAATGAGGGAGGGATGCGACCAGTCGCACCACTTGGACCAGGGCTGGAATGCCACGTCGAGAGGGGCTCGAATAGTCCAATAATGCACGGTCACCGGCCACCCACGTCAAAGTCCCGGGGGAAGTAAATACGGAGCACGGAAGGAAAAGGAGATGTCTCTCCTGTCTCTCCCTGTGATGTTTTAGGGGGGGAAGAATGCGGGGATGAAGTGAGGATGGTTCGCGGACTCGACAAGGACGATATCGAGTCAATTGGACTACCGAGACACTTGTCGACGTGCTCAGTTGCTTGAGGAGGTGGAGGAGGGTAGTGAGAGGAAGAGAGAACTGGAGGTCCAAAAGAACGGTCGAAGACTAGACTAGACGCCAAGGAGATGGTGATCAACCCGCACGTGCCCTCTTATCAACCACGAGGTGATGGAAGGCACTGCAATCGGAGTACTATATATAAGGAGAATATCAATTCTGTGATGGACAAGACACTGCAGAGTGAATATGTGGTGAAGATGAGATGAGCCCAGTCTCGATCCAGACGCGAGACTAACCCGATCGAAGCAGCAGCTCTTAAGTCGTGGAAAATGCGGTGGCTGAACTCCAGCTTTGCCTGTATTTCCTCATAGCTCCACCCATGGAGGCAAGACGCTCATCACTTTCCTCTACCAACCCGCTAGCCCCAGTCTTTTTATATTTAGACGTCTTTGCCTCCTCTCAGACCAAGTTGTGTCGATGCGTTGACCCGACGACGTCATCTGCAGCTGGAGAATGACTGACTGCCTCCAAAGTACAGACAGGGAAATCTGTCAACAATCCGATGGGTACCGCCTGATAGCTCCGGCCTATCACCTGCCGGGAGCTCATGTCACCCCGTGTCACGTGTTGGACATGAAATGGTGACGATTAGATAATATACTGCCTGGCGGTGAGATATCTGGTTGCAAGAGCTTCGACTACGCAACTCCTCGGAGATAAGATACGTAGCTATCGAGCGGCCATCTACTCATACCAATGGTGGACTATACCCTAGTCTTTCAATGAAATAACAGACTTCTGCTCTTTTCTCGCTTTTCCCCCCACATCACCAACCATGGCTCAGACAAGCGGGCTGAAATACCTCTCCAACGCTCTCGCTACGCCCGATCAGCTCTCCAGTTCGTCGTCCGCCATCGATGGCGTCTCTCCAGACCTAGAAGCCTCCATCCGCTTTGCTGGCGCTCAGCTCACCCAGGCCGCCGGCGTCCTCCTCCGATTGTCGCAGGACATCATCGCACAGGCAATTGTCACATTCACGCGATTTTGGATCGGCTCCGAGGGAGGGAGTCTGCGCATTTATTCCGTCAAGGTACCGTCCTCTACCAGACACTATGCACAACAACGATCCAGCTGACCAAGCCAATCGCAGGATGTCTCCGCCGCAGCGCTGTACATGACCGCTAAGCTATCCTTTCAACCCACCTCCCCGCGATCCGTCTTGAACGTCTACACTTTTTTACTCTCAAAAGACGCCTCGCCGTTATGGTTCGTGACCCCGCAAGGGTCGCCAGCGGAGAGACCAGCCCCGGAAGCCTACTGCCTCACCGAGGGAGGCTACCACAGCCAGCGGGTGGTGCTTCTGCGGATCGAGTCGGTCATCCTGCGGACCCTGGGCTTCAACACCCATGTCGCGCTGCCTCACACCATCGCCCTGACCTATCTACAAACCCTGGGGGTGTCTTCTGCGGCAGTATCGCGAAGGGTCTTTGAGCATTTGAACGCGGCGCTGATGTCCCCGCAATTGCTGTACGTCACCCATCAGCCGAATGCCCTCGCGGTGGCATCGATCTACCTCGCTGCGCGGGAGGTCGGCGTCAAGCTGGTCGACGGCGAGTGGTGGGAAGTCTTTGATGTCGATCGGGAAGAGTTGGGATTTTTGGTCGTGGGCCTTCGCAGCATGGAGGGATTTGCCAAAGCTGAGATGGAAAAGTGGAAGGGACGACGGATTCCCATGGTGGTGGATGACGTTGATGCTGAGATTGAACGGAGGAGAATGATGGAAGAGGGGGAGTGAGCTAAGAGCAGTGACAGGTACATTGACTCTTGTTTGAGCGGTGCACTAGGCCGTCATCGATGGTTCGTCGGACGCTACCAGTTCGACTGAAGGCAGCACAGCCGACTGCAGACACTACGCTAGCAGATATAAAGCTCCGAGCTGGTTTTCTTCCAGCTGCGGGAAAGCTTTGTCGCCCCATTGGGCATGTGTGCTCCGGCTGATACTTGTTCCAGGGGAAGATCTTGGAGCTACCTTTGAAGTCGATGTCTTGCACAAGTTGCAGGAACAAATGGATTCATGACATGTATAGTATTAATAGATCGTCTAAATGAATGCCATAATACCGTACTTTGGCTCTTAACCGGTGCTCTCTCCCCAACCGGCGTGCAGTCCCCAACGTATGTATCCGTATGCACGCTCTGCCTCCTATCCGCTCCTCGACAACGAATTATCCTTTCGACCGGTCCTCCATTCCAGCCACCAAGATGCCAGAGCGCCTGTATTACCGCACAAAGAAAGGAGAGACAGACGACATATGACACGTAATATGTCGGGCCAAAGACCGCATTGTATACCCGAATATATATCAGACTGAAGTACATGAACAGATGTAGCTCATCCAAAAAATTAGAAGGAATCTCCAACTTAAACCCAAACATCTCAAAGTCTATAGACCCATCGCATCCATACCCAATGAAAACTGGTCCCATTGCCATTCCAAGGCTCCAACGGGGCTGTTTAATAGTGACATCAGGCTGGATAGACTCCTCCTCGGACTCCGCATCCGCAGCCCACGAGGTCCAGAAGATGCTCAGAAAGATAGCAAGTATATATAACGGGATTGCATAAAAGAAAAGCCTTTCTACCACGTGGATGAACCGGCCAGTGTCGAAGAATAAGAAGTTGTTGTCCCTCTATGGAAACCAACGTTCCAGCTACTGCGTGTTTCGTGCATTTCTCTTGTGTGGGTGATCATGCGACTTCCAAACTGATCTCTACCGTCTCTAAACATAGACCCCACCTCATGGCGCCAGGGTATTTCGGAGAATTGCTTGGTGCGAGTTGTCAAAGTTGTCAAACGTACTGTTGTGCAATGTTCTGGGGCTGCTCCATGACGG